CGCAACCAACCGTGTATGATAAATGAAATATATAATACAATTGACGAAGAAACCGGTAGGACGAGTTGACAAATACACGTAATGCGAATTGCATTTATTTAGCGTATATTCCGGTGACTGAAAAACTCGAGTTGTGCATTAAAGTAGCAACCAGCGTGGAAATTAGTGTGGCGGTCAATATGTTAATAATAACAATAATAATAAGCGTGTCAATAATATTCTCGTGCTCAAATTCTGACATTATTTCCGCGAAATTCTGCACATCGTCACGTTTCTACGCGGCACACGCGACGGCACACGTCAACATCAGGACACGCGATGTCAGATGATTCGATGATGAAGCATACGATGAGGGAGGTATTGGCCAATAAACACGGCGTGAGTAACGTGGAGCGTTATTTGGCGCAATTTCGGGAACCGCATCTCGCCGCGGGCTTAAAAACAAATGTTTCATTGCGAGCGAAACGAAGAGTCTTAGTGGGGTGATGTCAACGGTAAACATATTTGCTCGAAGTTCGATTTGTGAAAATATAAAAGCGGATGCGCGCATATGCGTATCTCGTAAATACGCCTGTCGGCAATGGAAGGGTCTTCTTTTTACACGGAAAATAGAGACAAGTTCGCCGATGTAACTTCTATTGCCCGGAGAGAACAGGGATCGGACAAAGGACTCGTTTGAATCGTTTAGAGTCAAGTTAGGATCAAAGGAAGATTGCGACGAAAGAGAATTCAGCTCTTTTTTAGCAATTATCAGGAGGTGCGTTCTCCTATCGGATGGTGAAGCGTTGAGAAACTCGTGAAGGGAAAAAGCTTTGCAACTTTTAATCGGCCGACTGTTTCTAATCGGTCATTTGTCTGCAATTGTCTCAATTTTCGCGGTTAGAGATTTTATCTTCAGTCAACGAGTTTTCTGGTCTAGTCCCTGTTCACTTACGCAAAATGAGATCTTCCTCTCCATGTAGAAATGCCCAACTCACATTTATGTGTGTTGTGGAATGTGCGCTACAAATCAGAAATAATAAAACACGCAGATCTCGTTTCCTCATATCTAGCGCCAAGAGTGTCGAGAGATTTGATCGCGATTTTATACCTATATCGAGCGAGCATTAAATAAATAAGACGTAGAATCAGACGCCGCGTTTAGCTCTAAATCACGCGATGGCAGTGTCTAAATATGTAATCATCGCGAATCCGATGCAATCGGCGTTCTACGTGAAACCGAATCTTCCAAGACCCGTGTCTGTAAAACTCCTGACGTCTCCTTCAATCTCATTTCGAGTATTGTCTCTTGTCGTTGAATAATTTCATTTATGCCTGAATTTTTCTTCATATGAGATTGCAGATATTTACTTTATGCGAATATACTGTTTTAACAACAAAAACAAGTAGATTTGCAGTGGAATTAGAGAAAATGAAGCAATGACTATAAAGTCTAATACCTTATCACACGTTACGAAGAGAATCTAACTTTCGTGCTCTTCTTCTGGGAAAATTTTATTATATTTCATCACACGAATATAAATAGAAAAAGATAGACACAGTAGTGAAAGAATTTCTGCTGCGACATACTTGTGCAAATATTCGATGAGATCCTAAAAAAATGTACGCGTATGTGCGGGTGCGATTTTTTTCTGATGGAATGTTAAAGATGTTCAATGACAATCTGCTCAGCATAGATTAGCTAAAGTTAATGATTCAATAATATTCATTATTGCAAAACAATTTGACCACCATTCCGACGTAGAAACTAACGGTACCAAAGCTACTCACTCTTAGACGACGTCGAAGGGAAGGGTATTTAATCCTTCAGAAAGAAAGAAGACGCGTCCTTCGCGAGTCTCACAGCGGGAAATGAATTTCTTCGCACTCTTTCAATTTTTCTCAGAGTTTTTTGGAGTGCTGTACTAGACTCGAGTTCATTCCCGGAGGAACCGCGCCTCCTGTGACCCCACTATGTGGGAGGTGCTCGTTGCTCCCGTCAGACCGCACACGTCCAAAACGAATGCTAACTGGTACGATACTAACCCGCTCTGTCGATCTCTGTCGAGTAGCAAAGCAACGAGAAGACAAGACGCGAAAAGTGTGCGTGCGTGAGTGTACGTACGTGTGACAGAAATGAAAACAAGAAGAGGGAGAGAAAGAGAGAGAGAGAGAGAGAGAGAGAGGAAGAGAGGGAAGAAAGGATGAAAAATGGAGAGAGATGTCGGAGAAGGAGCGAACGACGAAAAGAGGAAGCGCAATGTTCGCTATAGAAGAGGAGAGCGAACGAGAGGGAGCATCGGAAAACGTAGAAGAGAATAGAGAGAAAAAGTTCGCAGTTCACATTGCGAACGTTGCACAGAAGCAATGAGAGCAAGAAAACATATAGGCGGGATGCAGAGAGAAAGAGGGAGAAAGAGAGAGAGAGAGAGAGAGAGCGAGCGAAAGAGGAGGAGAAGAGAGGAGAACGTAGAGGATAAGAGAGAGAGAATTTGGCATCGGTGTCGAGCAACGCAAATCTCTCCGGTTATTCTTAGCAGGCCGAAGCGTGATGTCGCGTTTCGTCTCGGGCGATATGCGCGAAATCGCCGTTTCCAATCCGCGAAAATTTCTACAGACATTTTCTCTCATATTGCTGTCGCTACTTTTTTTCGTTAAAACAACAGAGAGATATAGTTGGCGGCCCGAAAGTGGCTCTAATTTTAGCGAGATTAACTATAATTCTCTCAGGGTAGATTTCAAGTATCGTTCCCTCACGCGCGCGCGCGCGCGCATATTCACATGAGGGATGCTGTCGGATTCAAGAACGCGAGAGACGCGAGAGAAATTATAGCTCAGACACAACTCAGCGGGCTAATTCAGCAGGATGCGCACATGCGCGCGCGTGCGCGATTTCCGGTTCTGTAAAAATTCAATGAAAATGCCATGCGCAGAGTCCCTCATTGTCATCAGCAATACGCGTCATTCAGCACTTACGGCCGCAGGAAGCGCAATTATAGCCGAGGTGATTCCGCTAGTATTCCCGGTAGCGTTGATCGCGTGGTGCGGCCACTAGCACGTTGAATATTGACAATTTTTCCGACCACGCGAGACCTAATCCTGGCGTGACGATACCACGAAAATAAACGCCAGTTCAACACTTGCATCGACAACAATATTGTTTGCGCGAGGATTGGAAGTCATGACGTATATTTACACCTATCACGCGATCGGAGAACAGTCCGACTGTTATTTATTTAATACGAAAATTGCATTGCGCTCTGTCATCGCGACAAGAGGAATTTTCTAAATACTGTAGCTCCTTTTTTATGCGAATTCTTTTTCCTTTTGGAAAACCATGTTTTCTAGTGGCGCAGGAAGAGACGACTTAAATATAATTGAAAATTATTTCTTCGACATATTTGCGTGTTCGATTTCATCTTTTCAGCGAACAATAATATTCGAGATTCGTTTGTCCTCGGAAATACAAAATTGGATTCTACTTGCAAAAATGCGCCTGCCCTTGTGTTATTGACCCAATTTTTGTGATACGTGCATTTTCAGTTACCGAGAGGCCAGTCGCCGCCTGCAAATCTATTTTCGCGCCGTCCTACAGAGTTTAGAAAGACTCGCGATTCGAAGCGACGACTCACAATAGCCGCACCTCTGCAAATGATTGCACCGGTTGCTTTGTTGTGAACAAAAAGAAGGGACAGTAAGAAAGAATTGCTTCTAGATTTATGTGCTCATAACATCTACTCCTTTCTCTTCTTCTCACACGGAGAACGTGTGACGTATATCCTAAGAGATATATTTATAGTTGTTATTTAAAACTTATCTCACGTGAGATATTATAATTTGAATTTAGAGTTAGATGTGAGCTTTTCAGTTGAATTGCGATTACAAGTATAATGTGTCATATAATCAGGATTAGTAATTCGACTACTTGTAACAAAATTACAGATATTTTTCTTTCGGTAATTATTACTTAACTTCGTTCCTTCTCCCCATCTGTATAACTGTAACTTAATTTAATTACATTTTAAATTAGTGAAATTTAAAATGTAAAGTTTTTATATTTAACCTTATTCCACTGAATCAAGCTTCAATCTGGAGCCGCATGTGAGTTTTTCAGTCTCTCGATTACAAATATAATGTCATGTGCATTATATAATTCAACTAAAAAAACTCAGATCTCACTTTAATTCAAGCTCGGGCGTATCACTTGCACAATAAGTTTCAAGCACGGCCATGAGTGCAGGCCTAAGAAGTTTGAAAATACAAACAAGATTACAACGCATTCGTGCTCGAGGCGAAATATTACACAAGGCGCCGGCTGTATCGCTATTTTCACTTGTTGTAATGCTGTTGTTGCAAAAGCACGTTGATTGTACGCTCGCCGATAGCGGTGTTGGCACGCGATATTATTAGAATGACTAGACGCGCTGACACAGATAACAATATTGCAGCGAAGCCGCGTGAAAAAATAATTATGGCTCGTTCAAGATCACGCGTAACGATCGCACGAACCGCATCGCCGCGCACCCGGGAGTCCAAAGACGAAAGTGTGATTAAGTGAAGAATCAGGGGAGTCGGATTAGCATCGTTGCGTGTTGAGATTATTATTGCGAAGCGAGTCGCGCGGCGAGATATGTCCATGTACGGATAACAGTGCACGGTGATTGTAGTAGAAAGACGATAAAATTGCTAATACAAATAACGGTGAAGCTGCAAAGGGGGCAGAAGACGATCATCGTATCAAACGATGAGAGGAAGGGGAACGAAAAACGGACGTGCTATTCTTTCATTGTTGCACACATACACGCACACACACACACACACACACACACATACACATACTCGTACGCATGCGCATGTACATACGAGGTGTCTGACTTCAAATTAGACAGAAGAGTTCTGTACCATTTTGCAAACAAACGAACCTCGGATATGACAAATTTGTTTATTCGATATTAAGAAGCGACTTTTGCGGAATTTTTTCGCCTGCCAATAAAGGCCAATTAATATCTCAGTGATTATCGTGGTTGCAAAGTAATTTGCGAAGGATATTTTTGTCCAGTTTGATGAGTTCTACCTATGAACTATAAGCGAACGTACGCGGATTATGTCGGACATCCTATATACGCACACAACAGGCACTTGCAAAACGTAAAGGGGACCTTAAGATTCGCGGGAGTATCAATGCGCTGAGTCAGTTACGCAGTTTCCTTGTTTATAGACGAATGTTTATAAAGCTTTGCGGGAGGAACGAAGGGAGGCTCCGTGCAGCGAGAAAAGTGGATCATGTGGCCACGAGGAGCGTTTATTGTTAGAACAACAATAAGACGAAGTAGCAAAAGAAACCTGCTTGTTGCTCTCATTTCAAGAAATAATGTGCTTTTTCGGTCAACGAACCCGGCAAGTTTCAAGTCCGTAACCGCCGCCTCTATTTAATGCTAAGGATTCCTCGATGCCGTTTGGTCGCGTTCTCTCGCGATCGCAATTTGCGGAATGCGACCAATTGAACCGAACGATCGGTACGAATTACGATTCCATATCTGACTCGTCCGCGAGACGAATTTACTTGGCGTTATCGAGGCTTGCTTGAAATATAATTGCGACGCTCCACGACGAGCGAACGATAAATTGGACAAAGATCAGGCAAAAAGGTAGCATGCGCGTACAAACACGAGGGAGACCGATGTCTATTATATGTGTTATTACGATATTTATTTACAACCATGCCGTCGACAAACAACGCCAGTTGGAAAAATCTTTATCTCCCACACACACACACACACACACACACACACGTACATATACGCTATGTTACTCTCTCGATCGTTCTCAATTCATATGAAACTTAGACTCTCGCCTGTGATTTTCCAGGCCTCGAGAGATCCTAATGATGACCCTAAGCGTATTATAATGAAATGGATGATTAAGTAACAAGGAGCTCTCAGATATGCAATTATAAAAAAAGATCGAGGCCAATAAGAGCCAACGCGGATAACTCGTCGAAATGTATTGCTCTTGCGATACAATTACCTACGTTGACTCTTGTCGGTAGCAGTATTTTTTTATGGTTACATCAAAACACGACATATCATCGCTCAGGCGAAGTTGGGCTAAGAGCAGGGCGGCGGAAACGCAGTCGCCACTCCTGAAAAACGGGGGTTCATACCGCGCCGGGAGTGAACGCGAGCTGCCCTTTCGCTTCTGCATATCGATAAATCGGCTCGCCGGTAGTCTTTGCCCCCAGAGTCATGTAGGCTGCGGCTAAACCGTTTCACTATGCACAGAGTGGGGATTCCCCTGGTTGATATAGGACATCAGTTTTGTCCGTTTAATTCGCGAGACAAGTCGTCAGCACAGCCAAACGCTTTCCCGCGGCTTCCATGTCGCTGTTCTTACATCGGGCTGCAGCTTCATCGTCGTCGTCACCATCGTCGACGTTGATCATCATAGGTTGACAGATGACATTCTTGTAAAGTAAACAGTACACAGCCGTATGGCTTCGACAGCGCAATTGGCACGAGAAAGTGCACCATCGCTAGGAAGAATTAATCTTGCAATAAGCATCCACACGTCGCGCGCTGGAGATTTCCTCCTGTTGTTCTTCGGCCGGTCTGACACAAAGTGTGTGAACGCGGATTATGATTATTTCACGTGTTCTGCTTCCCGGAAGATGAATTTCCGAGTGTTTCGCTTCAGACATTGAGTGCACATTTAGAGCGCACGCGTGCCTTGGATGGACCTTTCGGTCTTTCGTCGAAACGCGATCGTACTGCCTGTGAAATATCTCGGCGCACTTTAGAAGAGCTTCATTACCGTACTGTTCATTCTACATGCTCTCGGTGCCGATTCGCGATTGCAATACGTGGAACATTGGCGATGAGAAGTCGAGCTCGTACTACAGTGTTACCAGGCCCGATATCTCGTGGGCGTTCGACACTTCCGAATCGAGCCGTTCGGTCGCTTTGGGTTGTGTCCAGATGTTGAAGCAAAAGGTGGAACGAGCTCGGTAAATGGAGACAGATTATTCACATCTGAGAAGAGTTTTCGGACTCAATACGCGAAGAGATAAATCGAGAACACGAGCATCTTGTTTTTATTTCCTTAGTTGCAGATATATCTGCAAGAGTTTTGCACAAAAACGCACATATTCGCAATTTGTTTAATGTCGCAGTAAATGAGGCACGAAGGAGAGACTTTTAATGCGTGTGTCGCACGTTTCTATGTTGCAGAGTGGTGAATCGCTATGTTCATCCTGCAATCGCACATAATCGCCCTTCTGGCCGCCATTTTCCTGTAAGTAGAAGCAACAATATATATCTGTATAAATAATATATATTATGAATGTTTACATTACATAAGGGATGTTTCAGAATCGGTAAATGTTACGCTCATCCGATGATTTGGCAACGACAGGATATACGATCAAAAGAGGTACGCTGAAAAAACTTTTTTTGAATGAAAAAAAAAAATAAGTAAAGCAGCGATTTTTATCATCAAATTGCTTTCTTCTCAGTGCACGGGATGTGGCAACGAGTGTGACAAATGCAAGTATGGTGTCACCGTGTCTGCCCTCTGTGGCATCGAGGAATGCCGACGGGTGAGTATTGACATTACCCGATACGTGGGTATCCACACTGTGGGTTGCCACAGTGACATTAAGAAACTTTCCCGACGCCATTTAAAAATCAGCTATGTACTTGAATATCCTTGTTAGCAAATTTGCATTTATCATATTCCATCTCGGCAGAACTCACAATATGAAAATTTCTCGCAAGAGAAAGAACCCCCTGAGCAAGTTAATTCGCTTGAAACAAAGAATTCCTCTTGCACGCCGGCTACGAGATAAGCCGGTGTGGTAAAAATGCTCAGTCATGCAACACACATAGCAACTATTTGGTGATTAGTGCAAGCTTGAAATGTAAAGAAAAGATATGTTTACTTGTCGAAAGAAATTTACTACAAATTATTCGCTGTTTCAACACATCCTTGCACGCGTCTCTCAGCTAAAATTAATTTTTATCAATCAAATATCTGCTGAAAGCTTAGAATAGTACAAATTTCGTTTGTTTATTAAAATACGACAAAACTCTCCCAGCGAAAAGAAACGCGAATCGAGAAATATTATGTATCGTTGTCGCCTTGCCAACACCGTCCGTTTCTATTGTATGCTTTTCACTTACAGGGTCCCGGCGAGTACTGTGGAGGTCCGAGTCAGTCATGGGGTGTATGTGGCGAAGGGATGTTCTGCATCTGCGATCGTTGCGTCGGCTGCAGTGTAGACTTCCTCACGTGCTTCACGAAGTCTTGTCTGCCTCATCAGAGCTTGGAGCAACGAGGTCACCATGAGATAAACGACGGAGTCTTCATCAACAGGTACATGGAGAACCGACCACCGGACGGCCGACTGATCGAAGGAAGACAGATGGATGAACGACGATTGAGAGGATTGAATATGAAACGAAAGTGAATGTAAGGGAGAGAGAGAGAGAGAGGGGGGGAGGGGGGGGGAAGAAAGGGAGAGGAAACGCGGGTATTAACGATTTTCCGAATTATTTATTTTACGGTATAATCTTATTAGGTAACTACTATTGTGATACACAACTCGTGCAGGTCTCACGCCGTATCCGCTCGCATAAGACGATGGCGCCCCTGTTCGCGTTTAATGGCAGTTTCTGTGATTTCTTCTTTTTAATATTACTGTGTATTATCCTCTCTTATATACTCACGTATCGATAAAGCACACGCGCGCACGCACGTGTCGCGCGGGCTGGCTTGATCTCGCGAGATACACAATGAATCATCCCCGCATGATTCTTGGCTGTGAATCGCATCTCTCGCGGAATGCGCGCTCGAAGCGATGAATTGGATCCTCGTTGATGTTCCCACGTACGCAAATCGCCGTGGGATCTCCGCTGAAAACCGAGAGCGCCGTGTGTTAAGCGGTGACAACTCGCGGCATGGGCGATGCGTTTCAGGACGAAAGAATACCACAAGAGGGACCATACGACACACCTCGCTCTCGGTTTCCTATCACGGCGGTGAGCCGTGAAATGCTTGGCGAACGCCGCCTCTATGTAACGGAAAACAGAATAAAATTGGCTGCATACATATCTCGCGTTATCGATCGATACCGATCCATCTCCTATCCTACACGAATAAAACGAAGTAGCTGCTTCATGATGATAAATAGGACGAAATGATTTGTTTACGCGCACGCAAGCGAGATAACGTGCAAAAATAATTCTTGTGTTTGCAACGACGGATGAGAATATTCTTCGTTTCTTTTTCTTTTTCTTCTGAATTTTTTCATCCGCTCGTCTCTCTCAGCTGTGTCAGCCTCTGCATGGAGCGGAGCGTGATGCCTCTTTCCGTCCTCCGTCGTAAAGAAATCCAATTCAGCAAAATATCGCGTTTATATAAATATGTTTTCAGGTCATGTTGTTGTGGATGTCAAAGGTGATGTGCCTCTTTTTCTTCACAGTCGAGATTGTCCAGAGATATTGGTGTACTCATCCGTGACGCATTAACATAATGAATAATGATTTTGTTTGCGGTCACGATCGAGAGATAACAAATTAATTTCTACTAAGCAATGTATTGAAGCGCCGGGTTAGCTCTTTGCTATTTCCACATCAATAAGTATAAATATATGTATACTGAAATAATAATTATTATTATAATTATGGGGGGTATTATTATTATTATAATTATTATAATTATGGGGGTTGAAGATTTATTATCTGCTAAATTGGAACGAAATTGTAAAATATTTTTACATTTATATTATTGCTTTTTAGAGAAAGAGAAAAGGAGAAAAGGAGAAAATGAAAATATTAAAAGAATATTAGAATATTAGAAAACGATAAGAGTAATTACGTTTTAGACGAAAAGTATACATTGTACATATACGATTATATTCTATATGTCATAAAAATATCCACGAGATTATTACAGATCCGAAATAATACAACATAACGAAACATTTTCGATATATTCAACATCTACTCGCGTCGTCATGGTAATACGCGCGCGCTAATTACATAAAAAAATTGCACGAAATAATAACAAAATATTTCAAGAGTAACTCCTGTCGTTAGGATAATTAATTCCTGTGTAGGCGTCGACCGCTTTCTTCTTCCTCAGGTAACATCGTCTTCGGTCTATCATTCTTCTGTCATCGTTTTTATCGCTAATTGTCATCAATGGAGAGAAAGTCAAATTAAACGAAAGCAAAAGATGAGGCATGACGATTTCCACAAAGACAGCGATTCGTGCATTGATTTGCCGGTCAATTCTCTCAGTACGGTTGTCGGCGAAGTTAAAATCTCCAAAAAGGGCGCATATCAAAGATACCGTAAACTGACTGGCTCAATCAACTCATTATTATTCTCGTCTACACCTCCGTCACTGAGTCACGAGCGAGCCCGCAAAATACTGAAAAAACAAAAGGACACATGGTATGAGAATAAATACATGAGAAGGCTGAGAGAGATACGTGCCAGAATGCGGTGCAGAGAATTTAAGGGTCAAGGGCTCGGAAAGCTCGACGTTATATTTAAACCAATGCGCAAAGGCATCATCCACAAGAAGCGAGTTATGCAGTGGACACACATGTGCAGCTGTTTACATTTTTTTCTTCTGTTAGCAGTTAATGGATGCCTTAATCAATATTAGCACGCGATCTGTTACACTCCACAGACAGAAGCAAGAGTTATGTGCTGCCGTGACTCTTTAGTTCGATGCAAAGATTCTTGCTGTTTTCGATCGAGCGAAGAAGCTTTTCGTAAGAATTTATTAGAACGTGCGACATATATATATATATATATATATATATATATATATATATATATGTATATATATATATCGGATCAATCGAAAAGTTTGGTTCGATTTTCAAGTTAAATCTGACTTGTTTATTCAATGAAAACAAACTGTTCATCAGTCAAGTGATCGCTGTTATTGTCTGCGTTATCAAAGCAAATCTTTTGACTGATAACTGATATTCTGACCAGATCGTATTAGGTTGGTACAAAAGGATTTATCGTTTTTTTCTATCCAATTTTCGTAGGAAGTTCAAGTATGAAAAGGAAAAAAAGAAGTTCTCATTGAATAACTGGAGGAATATCCGATGATTTTATTTGTAAGAAATCGACTCCTCGAAATGGGACAATTTCCTCATCCATTTAACCCGACGGACCTTTTGCACCGACCTGTATACAATACAATACAATACAATACTAGAAGAAGCACCTTTTGTACACGGCGACGCCCCTCGTCGCCGCCTCTTCAAACGGCAGGAAGAGGCCAAGACAGTTAGCAAAGCCTTTATTGGCCGTTTTGTTTCAGCAATTTCCGCGTCCGGAAGCCGCGGAAGCCAGCCTGGATCCTCGTCGCCGCTGCCTGGACGGCCTGCTGCCTCTTCCGCACTAAGAAACCGCGAATGCCCGCTTGGATCTTCGTTGCAGATTTCTCCTCGAGTGCCTCGCGGGTATTCTGTCTCTTCAGGAAAGCGTTCTTTGGCTTCGGCTGTTCCTGGGACTCGCCGAGCTGTTGCTGGTCTCGCTGCTGCGTCTGCTGCGGTTGCTTCTCCCGTTGCCGCTGTTGTTGCTGTTTCTGCTGCTGACCCAGCTGCTGGCGACGACGCTGCGACGTGGACGACTCTTTCAGTTGCTTGCGCACGCGATATCCGCGGAAGTTAGCCTGAATCTTCGTCGCCGCCGTGTTGGCCTTCATCTCATCGGCCACCTCGCTCGGAGTCTGTGACATGAACGAACGTCTGAGGCGATCTCGCGAGGCTCCGTGTCCGTTAAAATACGTCCAGCCGGATCACCAGGGAGTTCCGATGAAGCGCGATTCTGGGAAAACTCAATGTTCCGCACGATTGTTTACGAAGAGATCGTTTACGGAAGTGATCGAGTGCTTCTGCACCGCGTCTCGTTTACAGAGATCGATACTAAGAACGGAAACGGAAGCACAGTTTGAAGTTAATCCCGATCGGTCGTGAAAATCGCTCCTGGAAATAGGGCAAATCAACTCGAGCGTTCCTCTGGCGAGGTCGATTAACCGCAGGCCGAATCAGATCGCAGATTTTCTAAATTGGTTTTGAAGATTTGTTCCAAAACGGAAGCGGAAATGTCGCAGCGGAGAGGTGCGATGAACCATGGAAAGCTTTCAATCATATGTAAATACTGATGCAATAGAGAGAAAAAAAGGGAGAAATGTTTCGTAAAGATTCTTCGGGGAAGAGATCTCGATCCTTCGGCTGAAGGTTTAAGAGAGTGGAAGGGGGTGTATCAGTTTGGAAAATCGCAGTTTGGATCGTAGTAATACATAGAAAATTGCGAAGCCGATCACATAAATCATTCACGAAAACATAGACTCTAGCGAGTCTCGCGATCAAGCGGGAGATTCGATAGATTCTCACGGTGGGTTATGAATATCGATCCCTGAGGAGTCCTGATGTTTCTCTCGATCCTTTTAGCAGGGGCCGATCTCGAAACGAGGGACGAGAACTAGTCTGCACGAAATCTATTTTCTTTCCAGGGTTCGAAAGCACTTCCTCTCACTTCCGATCACAGCGATCTCTTTTTATTATCGTACGTCCTCCTGGCTAGAGGCGGTATGGGGAACTGACGCGCGACCGACGTTATCCGTCTCGAACGAAAGATGGATCTATCGCGCCTGCGCCTTGTGCAACGATAGCTCGCTGCCGCGCGAGCGCGCGCGCGTAAGAAAGAGAGAGAGAAAAAGAGAGCTCACTAGTTGGGCGGAGGAGATCGCTGTCGATCGCTTTTCATGTCTTATTCCGTGTGCCGTACGTCCGAGGATGGTTAATTTCGTACAAACTTGGCAGAGGCGATCCCCACGACCACGTTCGACGGCCTTCACGCTTAAACCGAGACTCGAGTGCAGTCACGGTGGATATTCGTCGTGTCGTTTATTTATGGTGGAATTCGAGTAAATGAGACGAGCAATAAGTCGAAAATCAAACCATCTGATACACGTCAGACTGTAGCTTTGGTTTTTCCAGTCGATTTCCGCACGTGTTCTGCCCCGAAGAGATCATCTACGTCTTATTGGCTTCGCGTCAAGTCAACGCGTCAGTAATATCGAAATATTACACCAATTGGAAATAAAAGAATTACGTATATTAAAAACAATGTAGATGACAAGAAATGTCGGAGACATTTCCGAAAAAAAATTGAATTGGCTTTATTGATCTCACGCTCACGGGAGGGAAAAAATCGGAGATCACGATCGAAGCAAAAGCAAATCGCAAAGAAACACTTTTACCTTCGTCGTGATTTTATTCCTTCTCCTCTCGTCTGTTAACAGATGGGGTTTCATCTCGAAGATGGACAAGTGGACGATCTAATTATGCAAACGTCATATGTAACAATTGAAATTCATTGAGACATTGCATATAATAGCTGAAATTTATTAGAACCTCTGTCTGTCCCTCATTCTCTATTTGAGACGTCAATTGTCGCATCGAAATGGAGGGACCGCGCGTGGAGGATCTCGGCAAAGCGTTCGTAATATGACGCGGGTCGAGCATTAATTTTGTTCTCGTGGGTGAGCTCGGCGCTCACGTCACGGTATATTCGCCGTTGCTGAGACCAGCGTATGCTAATTGATGATTGATGGTCGCGAGAGTGCGACGAAAGTCCGCGCGCTCACGCGCGAATGGTCAAGAACGTTCCAATTTGTTTGCGTCCATCGTTTGATCTCGCGTTTAATCTCGCGCATAACTTTCCTATCCTCATCAACACGAAAACATGCTCGAGATCGATATACGTCGTCCGATCGGTCATCTCGGACACCGATAATGCTTCTTCTGCTCGTTTCTCCTTATTCTCGTTATTCTTATTTACGATCTATGTAAGTTGTAAGAACTCTGCTCTATTGTCTTATGTAAATCTTGTTCTATATATAAATTGCAAAATGTCCCATGCAAATTGTAACAACTACGTCGACCTTAAATTACAGTCACGAAAGAAGAAGTAGCAGCTGAAGACAACATCATAGAGGAAGTCGATCGTATCGCTTTTGATTTCTAATGAGGGTGCGCGCTTGGCGCTCTACGGAAACGATCGAACAGGTCGTGAATAAAAGAAATTCCAAGTTGAACAAGAAAAGACACACGCCAACGTAATTTTAATCAGAAGGAAGATAAAAACTCACATAGCACGAGCCTGTGCATTACGCTTCTTCGAGATTAATTCGTATCGTCTTCCATCGCGTTTGCGTGCGCTGACCTTACTTACCTCCAAAATAACGGGTGTACGTGACAAAGTCACAGAGAGCTGATCGCTCGTGTTTAATCGGAGAGCGTGACTTGTTCTGCAAGCAACTAAGCTAGTGAACACTAACACATACACAACGATGACTAGGAGAGAGAAGAAGAGAGAGAAGGAGAGATCGCGTCAAGTCTCGACAATGCCTACGCGCAACGAGTCGCAACTAGTGGCATCGGCGACGGCGGCGTCGCGACGTCCACTGACGTCATCGCGACGTCGTACCCTTACCTTGGATCTTCACTCGGTAGACGTTTGCGATGACGACGATACTGATCACCATTCGTTCCCCCTCATCTCTCTCTCTCTCTCTCTCTCTCTCTCTCTCTCTCTCTCTCTCTCTCTCTCTCTCTCTCTCTCTCTCTCTCTCTCTCTCTCTCTCTCTCTCTCTTTCTTTCTCTGTAGTGCGGCGGGCACTAAAAATATGTGCTCAAGGTCCGTGGTACCGCGAAAACCACACCTGAAACGCTTGCTCTTGCATTCCTCGCGGATACATCTGTCGTTGAAATGCAAAATACCATCGGTCACTTCGGAGCCGCTGCATCTTTCTACGGCGGATGATGAATGTCCGACGAGAGTAGATTGATTGATTGGCTAGTCGCTTGCATGTATAATTTGTTAATTTATTAATTTATTGCAACTCCTTGCGTATACAAAGATACATCTTCACGTTGTGTGGGTGGTAAAAGCGGGTTATGATTAGCCTTCTCCCTCGTAGAGACGCTCTATCTATTCATACGTCGATAGACGCGATATGTGCTTATATGTATATTAGTAACTAACGTCGTGTCGTATGTTTACGCTTCAAGCTATTCCTGAGAGTTAATTTGCTCGTGTCGTCTGTACTTTCATTGTTTAACGCGTTCAAAAGTTGAGACAGTCGAAAATCCTGGTGATTCTGGACAGATTTAGAAATCAGAACCCAGAACTCGTAAAATCGTGGAAATCCGGAATAATATGAAACACAACGTGGCGTCATTGATTGCTTCATTTGCTTTAGGCTGGAACAATAAGTGCTGTAAAAAAATTACAATATGTGTACAAGCGACGATTCTAATCGAAGGAACTAATCGACTGATCATACAGACCACAACTCTTGCTCCTCGACTTGGGCCCGCGACAAACAATCGCCGTGACGTAAACGTAAGACGTAAAACATGAGTTGAAGAATCATCAATCGATGCATTGCTTTAAGTTTACGTATTTCAAAAAATGATAAAAAGAATAATAAGAACCACCAAAAGAAAATTCATCAACAGATTTATCATATTTTTCTACTTCTTTCATTTTTCCGATAAACACTGATTGAAAAAAATGAAGTTCGCCAACAGACTCAGCATATTTTTATATTTCTTTCATTTTTCCGATAAACGTTAGTTGATTCTTCAGGTTTATGTCCTATATTTATGTTTAAGGCAATTTGCCTGCGAGGGCTCTCACGCCGCCGATTTTACCAACAGTTCACGTCTTTTCCTTCTCCTCTTCGTTCGCGTATCTGTTGCTGTCATGGAAGATCGCGTTGGACGTTTCGCTCGCATCCTCAGCATGCAAATCGACCTCTTCGGCACTTCGTAAGTTACGGTCGACGGGCGACGTCTCTTCCGTTGATTTTCTCGTCTCTACTTCTTCGACCGTCATCTTCTTTCGATCGCTGATCACATTGCCCTTGTCATCTGAATTAGTTCTCGGCGATGATTCTACATGACTTTCCTTCTTCTCGAGAGAATATTCTTCCAGCGGCACCGAACTGCTTGTATCTAGCGAGGTCTTCGTCGCGGTCGACTGTTTCGTAGACTCCGACTTCGCCGACAAGACATCCCCAGCTGCCTCGTCCAAGCTGGTCAGCTCCTCAATCACGACACCCTGAAGTGTACCCGGAAGGGCCAAGGGTTCCCTGAGTGATTCAGGCACTGAAGTCTCCCCGGAAGTAACTGAGGCTTGAGCATCATTCATATTGCCCGTGCTCTTTGTCGCAACACCTGCAGGTAAGTAATCCATGTTGGAACCCACGTCCTCCACGCTAGTGATAAAATTCAGGTATCGATTCTGAAGAGTCGCCTCATCTCTCGGGTAACCCAGCATCAGAATATCCAACGCGGGTTCTATGAGCTTCGCGCCTCCGGCGCTCAGATTCATGTCAGGATCGGAGTTCCGGTTGATCCGGAAGTGACAATTGCGCGACACGTCCGCCAACAGCTGCATCACGATCGGCAGCTCGGGACGATCGGCGAAGGCGTTGCTACTCTTCTGGGACCTTCCGTGACGCTCGTCGTCGTGACTGCGCGGAAAGTTCCCATTTTTTTTTATTAAATATGTTTTATTTAATTGCCGATTGTTAATAATAATCATTACCAATTCGTAGCTTCGCACGCGCTGGATTTCGCAGCGTCAGTTCTCGTCTGCACTTCTTCGGCTTTTTTGTCCAGAGGCTCGCTCGCCGAGTCATCCGAATTAGTTTCACTGTTCGTTAAGTCGAACAGCGGCAACGGCACGGAGTCGTGGAACTCGCCGGTGTGTTGGAGCCGACTCGTGGCGAAGGCGTTCTCCAGCGAGAGGGTGGTCTTTCTCAGAGCCTCCTCTCGTCGAAGACGGTGCCGCCCGCTCCTGGCTTCTCGCAAACTCAGATTATTCTCTGACGCAATCAAATGCTCGTTATATACAACAGCAGTTTCCTGCGCCAAAGGAGCGTCATTGGAAATAGAATCTGAGCGAAGATCCCTTTGCCGGCGACGACGCGCTAGAAATCCTCGGATACCTTCGAAAAATTACTCTGGTTATTCGTTATCATGTTTGACGATCCTCTTACAATATCGTCGATATTTTTATATTGTCAATCGACTTTCCTGATTTCAACAAACTGTCGACAAAAAATTAACTGAAGTCCAAAAAGTATAATAACGTCTTAAAAAATTATAATCCTGAAATCTAAATGATAATTTTTCTAAGTTGCTTGTCCGCCCAATATGATATATACTCACAAGCTTGGATTTTTACAACCGCCGAATGAAAATCGTCCTTCTCCCGAACGATCGATCCATTCTCCATGATTTTCGGAGCTTCGTCGAGGGCTTTTGTCTTCTCGTCTGTACTCGTACTCGAACCAAAAGCTGCAATCACTGTCTCCGCGGTCGACGACTTCGTTGCCGTGGTCCAATATCGTCCATGATGATCCGTCGACGATTGTTCCGAGATTGCGCTCGTTATCGGTCCGTGAACACTTTCCAACTTTGCCGGAGAATTGTCAATCTTCTCTTCTTGTCTGTTTGCCACGACTGTCGCGGTATGATTATCGGCGACGATGGATTCCTCGGGAGTGACCGACTCGATCGGAGCGTGTTCAGCGTCTTCGTTTTCTTCCGTCGACTTCTGCAGCGAATCTTCCCTTGATTTCGTTGCCTCCAGAACTTCCACATGCTGCTGCTTATTTTCTTCGTCTGCCATAGATTCCTCTCGCTCGTGTTTCTCTCCGTCCTTCGACACTTCCTGCTCGTGTTTCTCTTCGTCCTTCGATTCTTCATGCTGACGTTCTATTTGCACCTCCACATCTTCTTCTTCGCGATGCTCCCGACCTTCCGACTCTTCTTGTCTGTCTTCTTTCGGTTTCTCATGGAATTCTTCTGTTTCATTCACACTGTCGTTGTTTTGGCTCTTTGGAACATCCTTCATTTGTTCGTCTCCTAGACCTTTCTGATTGTCGGCGAACTTGTCGTCAATAACGTCGCCGTTACGTTCGACTGCAATTTTCTCATCGGCAATCTCATGTCCTCCATTCTCTTCTTGAAACTCGTCTTGCTCAAACTCTGCTAGAGGCGCGAGTTGGCTGATCTCTACGTGTTCTTTCTCTTCAACTTCCAATTTAGTTTCTTCGGTTTCTTGATTTGTTGTTTCGTTATCTTCAACTAAGCATTCGTCTCTCTCAAACACTGTTGGAGGAGTCACCTGGCTACTTTCCACGTGTTTCTTCTCCTCGTCTTCCGACCTGGTTTCTTTAGTTTTTTCGTTGATCATCGCCTTATTATCAGCCTCGTTCTCTTGACTGCTATCCGCTAAATGGCTTGACAAATCGCGAACTACTTCGCTCCTTACAACATCTTCGTCGTGCAACGTTCCATATTGCTCCGAAGGTACATCTTCTTTTTCTTTCTCTGCTTCGTCAACTGATACGGAGTGCATAGAGTCCGATAATGGTTGACTAGTTCCATCGGCCACGTCCAGACTAACCTCTGCGGGATGGTCGTCGGACCTCTTTTCCGTGCGATCTGATTCTTCAGCACTGAGTTGCGCTTCTTTATCCAACAGACCTATCAATTCCTTCGCGATCTCTTCCTCGCTGTCCAATTCCTCCGACTTTCTCTTCTCTCGCAAAGTTGAGCTAACACGTGCGGTGTCGTCGACTTTTTTCTCTTGAACTTTCGTTTCATCCAAGACAGCTTCTGGGGACAACGAGTCTCTGTTTAACAGCTCATATTCCGCTTGCTCCGCTTGATATAGTTGATCGGCCTCCGGAACGTCCGACTACAATCAGAAATTCAGTGGTTTGAGCAATAATCAGGTTTGAGATTAATCAGTCAAAAGTTAAATTCGCTAAGCCAATCTTACAGATCCTCAACTTTAAATTGAATTTAAGTAGGAACGGATATATTAACTCACCCAACCCTGCGGCAAACTCTCCTCGACAGGAGTCTCCAACTCGCGGTCGGCCAAGACCAGTCGATTCCCCATCGTCAGTCTCTCGTCCGGTGTCAACGGTTCAATCAAGGACATCGTGGCATCGCTCTCCCTCGGGCTGTCATTACTCCCCTTCGTCGCCGTGCCATTAGCCGTCATCTTGAACGACGATACTGTGTTATCCTGAAGAGAGTCCAAATTCAGCTCCGGCACTATCGGTCTGCCGATGCTCGAGCTTCCGGCCGACTGATTACTCGCGGTGCTCTCCTTCGCGTCGCTTGAAGTGGTCATGGTGTGGATATCCTGGCTACTGCCATTCTCCTCCGACGTGCTTCTGGACTCCATTGCGATGTTCGTTTTGCTCGCATTCGTCAAACCGATGCTGTCGATATTGTCGGCTGAAGCTTCGTACTCATGAACGCGATGAGCAGGAATTTCTTCGACATTCGTCGACTCGGGAGTCGTCCCTACATCGGTCTCGTTCTCTTCGTGCTCCGCAATGTCCTCGAGCTTCATCGTGCCTTCAGCCTGCGCAACTGCCTGTTCATCTTCCTTCTTCTCTAAATGGCTCTCTTCCTTTGCTTGTTTGTCGTTCTCTTTATCTTCTTCCTCTTCTTCTCCTTCTTCTTTGATCCTGTCTAAGTCCTGATGGGTTATCACTATGTCTTGACTCCTCGCGCCGTGCACGAAGTCAATGTCGACTGGCTTCTGAACACTAACTTCCGGACGGATGTATTCGCCAAAGACATTCATGTCATATTCGTCCTGTTGCGTCTCGTCCTTTGACACGTCTTCCAGGGTACTGTCGTGAGAGGTTAATTCTTCGAAAAAAGTAAACGGAAAATCATTGTTGGAATATTATTGCAACGATATTCGTGTAGCATATTTTAAGATGAGGTTTTTAATATTGTGTAAATATCATGACAATTAACTTTTATATCTTAATGTTTTTAAATAATTAATTTTAATATCTTAATGTTCCTAAAAAAAACACTATCGTTATTCAAGAAAATGATTATAGATTGTTGATTAAAAATCAAATTAGACTAAAGAACAGTAAAAGCCCAATGGCAGATATGAAATTTCTATATATGTGTGCACACACATACACACAAAAAAAAAGCTCTCATCAGAAAAATAATTTCACATCCGCAATTGGGCTGTATCGTTCTTTTCTTCTCTTATAATTTGATTAATTTGATTTTTACGATATTTAGAAAGATCGTATTATGCTTTTATAGGTAACGTCTTCAAAGTATTTTTTAAATTTCAAGTGAAGACGATATACTCGCTTTCGCAGCGCGGAGAAATGCGGAGCATTAAGTGAAGAGATCAAATCAACGTTTTAAAATGCTGATCTAACGTTGTGTGTTTATTGAGTACTCTACCGGTTGGGCGATTGGTTGAGTCCGACGATCCTCGATCCTCGATCTCTGGAATTACGGGAGATGGACACGGTCTGTCCGGAATAATCACGGTCGTCACGGTATCAGGGATCTCGCACGGAGAGCCTTCGCTAAGGACGTAAGAAAATGGAATTTTTAAGGACAGCGGCGTAGTCGGCGGTAACTCGTTGACCTCGCGTTTCTTCCTTCCTTTCGTTCCACTCATGCTGTTTCCATTCGTCGAAGGACTCGCTTTCGAACATTCATCTACAGCTGCGGTATTTCCGGAGCTTGTAGTCTGTAGCGACGCATCTGTCGCCATAGTTTCGCTGTTTGACACGTCGTCCTCGTCATCCGTCCCGTGAACGGCCACTTCCGCAAACTGCTCGTCTTTCTCCTGAAATCGTGTGTTTGCAGATTCCAGACTTTTGATATGATGCTTAACCACTAATTCCTCCACAGCAATCGGCGACTCCTCCGTTTCGTTTGTCGATACCTCAATTTGATCCTTGGATCCCTTCTCCTCGTTCAGCTCTTCGGTCGCTACCGTTGTGGGCGATTCACTTCCCTCTGTCGTTATTTTCATTCCGCTCTTCAACATTTCCATTTCCTCCTCCGATCTTTTAATTTCGCTCGAGATTTTCACATCGTTTGCCGACATTTCCGTCAAGTTTTCCGTTTCGCTCTTCGGTGTCTCTACATTATTAATCTCTTCTTCCACTTTATTTGCCGATTCCTCAACTTTATCCTTTTCTTCTTCACTCATCAATTTTCTTTTTTCACTCGGTGTTTCACTTTCGTTTGTAAGTTTCTCTGCATTATTGCTCTCCTTCTCTGCTTCTTTTGCCGAATTTTCTTTCCCTTCTTCTTTTTCTTCTTCTCCTTCTTCTTCATTCGACGTTCCTCGTCCGTTCATCGACTTTTCTACCTCATCCGCAATCTTTTGCGTCTCATCACTCGATCTCCTTGCTTCGTTCATTTCCTCAACACTAGTCGACTTTCTCCCTTCGCTTTCCGCTTCATCATTACACGTAGTGACCTGTTGGCCAGCCAACGCCTTTTCAATATTCCGCTCCACCATCTCGATCTCGATCAACCTGTCCTTCAGACCGTCAAGGGTGTTATTTTGCATGTCACTGTCGTCCGGAAGTTTTTCCCGCTCGTCTTCCTCGAACTCCAACGAGTCCGGCCGCGGTGGCACGTCGGTCACTTCCGGCGTTACGTTCAAGCTGTCCTTGTAAACTTCCTCTACCCTTTTCTCTTCCGATTTCGTTGATGATCCTCGACGCTCCTCAAGTTCTCGATCGAGGGAAGCATCGCTCATACGTTTGCCAGTGAGCTCCCACGAAGTGTCCTTCCAAAGAGCTTCCTCCTCCGCATCTTCGTCTCCTTTACCACCTTCTCCATCCCCCGGTATCAAGTCCTGACCACCACCATTCGGATCTCGCGTCGCATCAGTTGCTGCCGCGTTTCGTTCATCCCCGTCTTTCGGAAGAGTCGCGATGTCCTCCATGTCACTCGTAACGTCGCGCATCGTCGAACCGTCTTCGGCAACCTTGGCGTTGTCGATGTCCTGCTCCTGCGACCTCTTGCCGGACGCCGACAAGACCGGCAACGACAACTCGTCCTTTCTCTTGATCGACTTGGGCGCTTCCGGCGAGATCGGCGGCAGAATGAGTCCTCCGTTCGAGCCGTTCTTCGTGACTCCGTTCCTGCAGCTCCTGGAAGATGGCGGCCTAACAATGGGCAAGGAGACCACGTTTGCGTGATCGGAAGTATCAGGTGACGTCGTCGATGGTTCTTCGCGTTTATCACTGCCCGGCTCGACTTTACGGCCGTTCAGTTCGGACGTCGACATCGAGATGCCCTCCAGGATGCTCTGCGTAGCGGTCAGTCTCGCCTCCAAGGTGTCGTGGCCTGCACTGGGCTCGTGTTCCGACTTGTTGCTCCGCTCTGTGTCATCGCCGCCGCTTTCGCGTCTCCTCGACCTTCGCCCGGAGTTAGACGTGCTGCGTCTTCCTGGTCGCCTCTCGTCGTCCTCCGTGTTCGATAGCACCTCACACCGCCCCGTCGGCTGATCCTTCGCCTCGTCGACTCTCTTCGCGTCGTTGGACTGTCGGTCACCGCTTCTCCCTCGCCGCTTGTCCTCATCGTCGTCGTGATCATGGTCGCACTTCCTGCTGTCCCTACGCGGGCAACGGCGAAACCTTTCGTCCTCGTTCCAGGCGAAGTCAACCGAGCGCGAACGCTTGCCTCGCGGGCGCCTCATCTCCTCCAACTTCTCCTTGATGATCGGAGCCGCGCGATCGATCACCTCCTGCACCTGCTCCACGTAGGTAGGCGAGCGGAGTACCTCCAGGCTCGCTGAGCTCGCGAACTTACGCAGGACATACGCCCTGATGCGGTCCATGCTGAGCGCCCTCGACGAGACTTTCCTCTCGGAGGAATGTTCGGAGAGCCATGCCGCCATTTTTGGACCGCCGACCACTTTGAGTCCACTACCGGCGCCCTTAACGCTTGCTCTCTCGTAGCTGGTAATCAAAGAACGGAAGTTCGTAAACGGGAAAATGATGCTTCAGATTCAAATGAATCTCCGCCTCTAGCATAAATTCGCGAAAAATGTTCCATTTGAAATGATCTCCGCGCTGAAGTGATTTCAAATGAAACTGAAAGATCCCATTGATGGGAAAATTCTTGCTAAAATCTTTCGCTAAAATCTCACTAAATTCATGAGCTTATTTAAACTCAACTTTGCGCAGGTGACTTTCTCTGCGCAACCCAGTCAGAACCATAGTGTCGATTCGACATCGATGAGGGTTGAATTAACGTCGGTTCAACAACGGTTCATCGGCCATTTCAACGTGAAATCAACGTTGAATCAACAACGACGATTCTGACTGAGAATTGTACCATACCTGTCTTCAAGTTTGTCCCTCGTTGCAATTTCGCGATCTGTCTCAGTCTCGGACTCGGTCTCGATCCGCCGCGCCTTCTTCAAGGGTCTTCGAGTGGAGGTCCTGCCTGCGGTCATCATCGCAGTGCGTTCGATCTCCTCCTCGGCACTCTTGTCCATCTTCACTTTCGTTCTGGACCGCCTCTCGCATCGAATTCCCTTCTCCACACTGTCGGACAGCTTGCCCTTCTCACCGGAGTTCAGTTTATTCTTCCTGAGTTCTTGCTTAATGTCTTTCGTCAGGATAGTCTTACTGGAGCTGCGGAGAACAGTCATCTGCGAGATGATCTTCGTCGCGCGAGGTTCAGACGGCGTATCCTTGTCCTTGGTGGACCTCCTCGAGGCTCTCCTCGTGTTCGACGAGCTCTTCGAACATGTCTGCTTCGACGACTTCCGCTTCTCTCTGCCGACAGACACGTCCTCCGGACTCTCCTCCACGTCGGCAGGCGTCTTGCCGCGTCTCTCGAGGATTTTGGCCTCTTTGTCCAAGGACCGCCTGCTCCGCTGGGTATCTCCGGCATCTCCGGACTCTTTGGTAGGCCACAGATTAAATTCACGAGTAAAATCATCATCGTCGTGATATTGTTCTCGCAGCTTCAGCAGTTTCTCAAAATGGCGGGCCGCGAAGACATAGATGTCCTCGGGACGGTAGCGCAGCACCTCCCTGGTAAGACCTTCGACCGCGGCTGCGAGCCCGTGAGGCACCCGCGGCCCTATGAGATATCCTGTGCCAGGATACAGGCCGGGACGACTGGTCGGACTCAGCATTGTGCATTGCCTTATTGCGAACCTCGTGAACGCTATAATATGTGCGATGTTATCTCTTGTTCTTGAATAATTTTACTACTTGCGGCATTGCTGCTGCGTCACGCATTTCACCGTAGCATCATGCAATAGGTTTTCTTTCAAGGACGCGGGTGATTCTAGCGAGATCCTTATCTGATTTGCGCTTGCACTCTGCATATTCGGAAGAGAAAAATTATTATAAACTTTATGTTACTGCAATATAAACGCGATTAATATTAACATTAATTAAAATATTATACATATAGACTGCTTCACAATGTAATTTTATAAATAATAATATATTGATAAGTAAAATTCAAGTAATGAAAAATCGCGTAAATAATACAAATAATTAAGAAGCAATGAACAAAATGTTATTCAGTAAGCACATATCGACGGTAAACGTTATATAAATATTATAAGTTCTCACTCAACAACATGAATGCAATGTAACAATCACGTTGCATGCAACAATCTAATTACAAAATTGTTATTTTTAATTAATGTTCCCTGGACCGGTAAATTCGATCAGAATGTCACAGCAGATTTGCGGTCATCTGTGTCCGCATGAAGCTCGTGTTCTGGCATAACTTGACAGCAGATTGATAGCAGATTGATAGCTGAACAGTACCCGCAGTATGTTCCATTGAAATATATCCGCAGAATGACGAATCCGCGCGGTTACTACGATATACTGTCAAATTATGCCAACAGATCTCGTATTGTATTCCTGCCAGCAAGCTGTTGACGAAAATTCACAACAGATTACTGCTCAAAGTCTGCATCGCAGATGCGCACATGCTCTCATAAGGGTGCCTCAGACTATTCAATTTCTACCGCGAAACCATTTTCTGCAACCCTCTAAGGAGTGACAGAAAGTGACGTGACAGGTGTTCCAAGTGCATTGTGTGCGTACGAATACACATGTGTGTGCATACCGAGGTGCAATACCATCTCACACGCGGGGTGTGTGATATCAGGCGCTCGTACGGCGTGCGTGTACCTGTCAAAGTGCGAGAAGCGACATCGCCAATCCAAGCGGTGCTGTGAACGCGAATCTGCGCTCCAAGAACCAGTTGTGTCTACGCACTCGGGAAGGGAATAACACGGAAGAGTTGCCACCATCGAGTGCGTGCACCCCTGTGGCATAACTGAATCACCGCTACCAGCCTGCTCGGACGATGGTGGTCGATGCTTCCTCCATTGATTAGCTGACGGTCTGGCGGCCACGTGACTCCGCCGCAGAATTACATTAGCGCACGTACCGCTTAAAATATGGAATCGAGCCGGAGGAGAGAGAGAGAATAATAATGCGCGACTGACGTAAGCGCGCGTGATACGCGGTAGGTGGTTTTTTTTTAGCAACTTCCTTCACGAAGGTTCACCACCGAACGGAGCGGTTCGGTTGAAATTTGCCACCCGGTGTGTGACCGGGATACCGAATGATTGATGATACGATCCGCGAGTGTTCTCGGAGGTTTATAGTGTATTTATGTATATGTTAGAGATGTTCAAAATGGATACTTTGCTAAGGATATTTATACGACGATTAACAATTAAAATCAGTAACTTTATTCTTCCACTGGGTAAAAAATGAAACTCTATTGCGTCATTTCCTTGAACCGCTTCTCGTCCAGTGCGTACTGCTTTAGAAATTCTATCTCTAGAGGATGCATTCTTTTAGCTGGCACAACGAGACAATGCAACGGTGGTCCCAGATCGACACTCGTCATATCTTGCAGAGAACAAACGACGATACGCTGGTCCTCACAGCCCACTCGAGCTAGGCCCACTGCTAAACACTGATCCGTAAGTTCTGCCAAATATGAGAAAAGTGAAATATCACTTTCATATGAAAATAATATAATTATACCACTAATTATTATAACTAAATATGTCAGTTAATCATACTTCATTGACCATTACTATAATGTGATTCTTTAACCCCTTCGCCTACAATATCGTGTCAGAGACGTGGTACACGTCGATCGGGTTACACGCGACAAACACTTAATAATTTTCTTAAAAAACGTAGCGAAACAACGTGAGAGTGCAAAAGACGTAAGGTTGCATTATATATACCAATATGCTTTGAAAGATACCATACGATTCAAGATTATTAAATTTTTGTAAATTTTATCAAGACGTTAATAATTTATAATGTGTTTATCTAGAAATTGAAATAAAAATGTTATTGATTTATTATTCACTTCAAGATAATAAATCTTCCTTGTTCAATGATCAATTGATCATAATTATTTATCAAACATCTTGCAAAATAAAATTAGTTGTACCAAACACATGTATTTACATATCAAAAGACGTGTGTGATTTGCACAACTTCGAGCTCAGTCAAACCGTGAAATGGCTCGACGTGTGACCGACCTTGTTGTTGTTTATGGCATGCGCCATCAGAACTTAAATTGTAAGGCAAGGAGTTAATGTAAAATTATATGTATAATCACAAACCTGTAATCTGACTATCCTGAATCTTATTATTGAGTACTTCTATCAATTGATTAGCCGCTTCGTTGACACTCATAAATTTAGGAGGCATATAGTCTTTCTTTTTTTTCAAAATACTCTCCAAAGTAGGCTCTTTAACTTTGATATCTAAGAGACATAATGTGTGCAAGTCTCTCTGTCTGTTAGAAATTATCCTTTCATAGAAACTATCAGGCTGCCAAGTGTCAGTCCAATATGGAATTGAAACAGTCTCTCCATACGAATACAACTGCAAGCCGCAACATCCAACTGCAGTTAATATCGACGAATTGTGTATAACTTTTACCTGATTAAAAATGCGTTATTTTTGGATATAGTTTCATCTCTATTAAATATATACAAATAAATTTTAAGTAATAAAATTCATAAAGTTCATAAAGTTAAATTACTATAAGTAATTTATAAAGGAATAATATTCTTTAAGTAAATAATCCACCAATATTCCCCTATTTTTTGTACCTGTATATCCTTTTCCTTTGCACGAAGTACTAAATCTGTATGTGTGGTAGCACCAAAGGGATCTCCTACCACCAAGAAAGCTACATCCTCATCTTCTTTTGGCAATATCTCATCTGCACAGCTCTCTACTAATTCGCGATCAGCTACAATCAACGGGCACCCATAGAACTCTTCCTAAACATTAAACTGCAATAATTGTATATATCTACTATATTTTAAATGAAATATATATAATTATATACTTTGTTACATGCAGATACACATCAGATTGTTTCATTTTCCTTTTTTATAGCGAATGTCATTGCAAAAGTCAATACAAACCAAAGTTTCTTGCTGCACTGTCAAAATAGAGGTGTAAGACTCCAAATACACGCGATTGCATTTCTTAATAATTTCGAGTCCTTTGACAGTAATATCTTTCACATCGCCCAGCCCTAATCCTATTAAATAAAACATGATTTATAATCGAAATTAACGTTTTTATTCTTATCAATATTGTAAACAGAGTGTAGAATTTCGTTTATTGATTCGTTAGAATAACAGATTTAAAGGGCTTTCTATAGAAAACACAGACGCAGATTACGTGTCACACAGAGCTGAAACTTAGATGATATTTTTTAGTTAGGAAATTCGAATGTATTGCCATCTTATATAGTTTGAGTTTCAAATACTTCCAGTGGTCGTAGGAAGTCAGGAAAGGTGTCATTTTCTTCTTTTATGAAGGCCAGTAAATTATGGTTTGAGTCTTAGCTAAAAATCAGATTTTTAGTTGAAACTCAAATCACAAGCTGGTGGCAGAGAGGAACATGAGAGCGGCTAAAGCCTCTTGCACAATGTCAGGCAACAGGCAATAAGAATAAAAATAGACTAATCACAATAGATTATTCTTGTAATAATCGATAATAGGCTTGTTGCCTGGCATTGTGCAAGGGGCCTTACTGCTTACGCTTAAGGCTCATCTACATTAGCTATAAGAGTAAGGCTGTAAAGCGTGGTCTACAATGGCAGTAAGCAGTAAGAAGTAAGCATAAGCGGTAAGAAATAAACCAATCACAGTCGATTATGATAAAAATAGTCAACTGTGGTTGGTCCATTTCTTACTGTTCACACTTTCTTCTTACTACTTACGGCCATTGTAGACCACGCTTTAGATCTTTACATTCAGACCAATAACGTTGACGAATTATTCACAGTTGCGCAACTGTTGAGTGTCGTGAACGCATCCATTCCTGGTACTTAGGGCTGTATTCATAGTCCGGTCTTATATTTAAGATCGTCTTAAGTTCATCTTCAGATGCTGTATAGATCATTTCATTGGCTACAGAATATCTGAACGTGAACTCAAGACGGTCTTAAATATAAGATCCGACTATGAATACGGCCCTTGGACTTACTTTTATATTTCTTTATATATTCTTCTTTCGAAACGAATTATTTAATTTATATATTATTGATTAACACCACTGTGTTAGGAGAAAAGAGAGAGATATTCTATTTAGTGCTTTTTGTCGCACCATTTCTCTGCAAAATGGTTACCTTCGCGAAAACTGTGGCATGCTGAGTTAGGTATATGTGTTGAATCTATATATATATATATATACATATATTTGTCATTAGCTCCGACCGGTAGCAATTCCCGGAAAAGAGGTACACTGTCATTGGCGAACACGATAGCAGAGTGCCAAAGTGAAAAGTAAAAAGGATGCTGTTGCATCGAATGACGTCTCTGCTTCGCGGTGTGACTACGTTTAAGGAGACGAATGTCATAACCAAGTCGTACCTTCGTTCAGCGATTACCACACCATCCGGGGCAATATTGCCCGAACCTAAGAGAACGCCGTTTAGTCTTCTGGGTGTAATCAGCAGTGTCGTCTTCGGCCTCCTCGTTGGCGCCACGATTAGCAAGAATGTAGCAAACTTCCTCGAGGAGAACGATCTCTTCGTACCTTCTGATGACGATGACGACGACGATTAGCAATGATAAAACGGCTGCAGCAATCTATAATTGTTAAAAGCACACAGTCCTGTTATAGGTGTTCTTAACATCAATGGTAATATCTTTTAGTCCCTTCTTTCTCACTATATAAATCTATAGAGAAACTTTTGCCATCTATCCTTTTAATTTTTAAACATATATATATATATATATATGAAACAGGATGTTGAGTATTGCGAAAGCAATATGTATTCATTATGTTTGTACAATACATTTCAATTGATTATTAATTTTAGTTTGTTGGTACTTGAAATGTTACTAAATCTTTTGTTCACGATATCAAAATTATGATTATAGTGAGTGATTCTAATATATTAGAATCTTATTATTCTGTGACTTGTTTTCAGAGTCAAGTTTGATGTCAGAAATGCAAGATAGTAATTGCACGATGTCAGATAATAAATGAAGAGATAGCTCTTCATTTGCACAATTTAGATATATTATTTAAGACACACACTATGATGCCTGAAGAATTATGTGTATATTATCATAGAAATATATATTTATACAATTGAAGTGTTAGCGCATGATAAAACTTATACAAAATCTTTTTATTTATAAGTTAAATATGTATATTTTTAAGTATATTTAAATAATTATATATTTCAATATATTTAAAGAAATATATACATATATTTATAAATTAGATCATGTTAACCCCTTGACTGTGGAGGCAGAAATGTACTAGTCGTGCCATTTTTGTGTTGGAAAAAATGTCGAATTTTCTATATAATATTTTTATAATAAGGGTTTTTGGGGTCGCTGAATCCAAATTTGATATTAAAATTCCGAAATTCAAAATGGCGGATCCAATATGGTGGGTCAAAATTATGAAAATAATTGGATATTTATGAAAGTGGGTATCTATATGTTCTTGGAATCGCTGAATCCGAATTTGATATCAAAATTTTTAAATTAAAAATTGCGGATCTAAATTTTGAAAATCAGATTTCATGATTTTTATAATTTTGACTCGCCATGTTGGATCCGCCATTTTGAATTTCGAAATTTTGATATCAAATTCGGATTCAGCAACCCCAAAGACATAAATACCTACTTTCATAAAAATTCTATTATTTTTATAATTTTGACTCGCCATGTTGCCTCCGCCATTTTGAATTTCGAAATTTTTGACATCAAATGCGGATTCAGCGACTCCAAAAATATATAGATACCCACTTTCATAAAAATCTGATTATTTTTATAATTTTGACTCGCCATGTTGGATCCGCCATTTTGAATTTCGAAATTTTGACATCAAATTCGGATTCAGCGACTCCAAAAACATATAGATACCCACCTGTATGCAAAAAACAATAGTTTTACTATTTTTTTTCTTCGATGCGTGTATACACGTCATCCACAGTCAAGGGGTTAAATACAACATAAATAATACAAAAACGCTTATTATGGCATCTGTACAGTGGGGCAACATTATGAAAACAGATGTACATATATGTGATTACAGTATTACATATATCTCTTTTCAGTCTTCGATTAATATCCACAATTTTCAAGCGTATATAATTTTAATAAATCATTTAAGGTAAATGTACCTATCCCTGGATGTTTAAGAGCACTATGAGAGAATGTTTCATAAGTTTCTTGCACTCATTGCACTAATAAAATGATTATTCATGTTATAAAAATCACGAATGTATGAAAATAAGTTTGGATATTTAACTAAAAGTTTGAAATGTAAGAAAAACTGTTATTCTATTTCTATATTGCAAATTTGTTTATTCTTGTTTAAAGACTAAAATGACAAAAATGTACAGGATTAGGTACATATGCAGGCATTGATATTTTTATCTTACAATTGACGTTTAAAGTATAATGAATCTAGTAAACATAAGAGAATTCTATTTTAATTCTTTCAAAACTATACAAATAATAAATCTATATCCTTCATAGAAAAACCGATATTTCCGATATTTTCAGAGGAAAACTATCATTAATATTACAATTTCACGATAAAAATTTGTATCACAATTTATCGAACAATTTAAAAATGTATACAATCACATATTATTCGAAGAATCTTTACAAAGATGCAAGAGGTATAAACAAGTACACAGTCTAGTCGGTATGAAAATTCTCATAAATACAAAAACGTGTGCATAAATAAATAAGTCTCGTTGTGTACGCAGAAAACCAGTCATAATTAATCAAGCAAACAAGTCTCCCTTTCAGTACGAATTTTAAAATACAGTAGAAAAACGCATCATTTGTTCAAGCTTGTCTAAAATCGACATAAGTACAGTGCATGTCAAGCAGATTGATGCGTAGTAGAGCTTGAAGGTTCATTCGCATCTAATATTAACCGGATAGCGGATAAATGTGAAAAATTCGGATTTTCCAAGATTCCGAACAGTCGAAGAGCCAAATTCGTGATTTGAATTTAAGTTCGCAGCGAGTTCGGCCAAATAGGCACATTCGCAACTTGAATTCCTCTCGAACATTTGACAGTCAATAGATCAATATTTAACACCGATTTAATGACTTGACATTACTTTTGATCGGATCCATATTCTCTTCCGGATTCGGATCTCGATTCCGATCCAAATAACTTAGATTGCCCAGATTATCCGAATACTTAGAAGCGTTAATACTTAATAACAAGTTCTTAAGGGAGTGCCCTGTGAATAATTGTTTAGTAAGCCAAAACCAAACAAACGATTACGAAGATATAGGGGTTCTTGTATTTAAATGTACCGTTACTTATTGAACAATTATCGCCTTTTCAGTTTATAGACTCGTTAGCTGATATTTAGGCGGATCTTATATTTAAAATTGTCATCAAAGAGGGATTTTCAAATGTGCTTTGTAAATAATAGAACGATCCTTATAGCAGCTGAAGACGAACTTAAAATAATCTCAAATACAAGATCCGGGTATAAATATCACCTTTGAAGATATATAAACTGCACGCTTCTTATAAGAACAGAAAAGTCGGCATCATGGTAAATGCCTCTACATAGTCGGATATTAATGATGCAGGATCAATATTGCGTAGTTACTGTATAAGAATATACAATATATTTAATGATCCAATCATATAATCAATCGAAATCGGATAATTTAAAATGCGCTTGTTCCAACTGCTTAATCTTTCTCGATCAGAATTACAATTACCATGCAAATAAAAATGTGTATCGGTTATTCATGATAATTTTACGGTAACGGTATAAAAGTATATATAAAACGATGCGTTAAGCCTGAGCCAAAATACTCAGAAGTGGGGGAAACCATGTGCATTTTATTTTTCAATATGTCATTCAGCCGTCATGTAAGAGTGTTCAGTCTATATCTGCATGTCTACGATTGATTGATTGATTGATTGATTGATTGTTTGCTTGCTGCGAAAATGTACGAAGATCTGTAGAAATTATTGCGATATATTGACTTCCGTTCGATACGTAAAGTACGAGTAACAAAGAGAGACAAGGTCGCGATACGTCTCAAATCTACGGTAAAAGAATGTTGCGTTTGCGTTCGTCTTGCCTACATGTAAAACTACCTCGTACGATAATAAGCGTATATATGCGATAAACTGACTCGTTTTTACTGTGGCGGCCTCTTGTGCGAACCCCAGCCGTGAAAGCATTTCGTGAATCTCCTGGACTCTTTACCTTTGGCAGTCAAAAATAACTTACGAGGTTTCTCGGGTTGCTTCACGCGTAAGTGTTGAATATACACCTGTAAGAAGGAAAAGAAAACACCGTTATTCCATTCTTGTTTTAAAATTAATTGTGATGACTAATTAGTGATGGAATATGCTTTGAAATAAACTAAATAAGTTTGAAAAAATTTAATTTACTTTTATAGAATATTTTATACAACGCTTTCTCGTAAGAATCATGAAAACAAAATTCGTAGCACTTACTTGGGCCGATTTATAGGCCAATTTGATTTCTACTTCAGAACAACGAGTGCCTAACCAGAGGAATACTTGTTCTCCATTATCAAGGATCATGATATCGTCATCTGCCAAATCGTCCTACAAAAGAAAAATATTAACGGTACTCGTACGGTCTCTTATTGAAAAGCAGAGAATTTGGAATATTTTTTTATATTAAATTATGTACTTGGCAGAAATCGGTGCATTTCTCGCTGATTGTGAAGTATCCCTTCTCATTGGAACACCTAAATAATCTCGTGTAATTCATGTATTCCGCGTCGGTATCATACGGCTTCTTTCCTCCGAGTGCCACCCAGAAGAAATTATCTGGTTCCTCACCTTCATTTAGCACTTGCAAGCTTATCCATGGCTATGTAAAATTCCATTATTCATTTTTAGATGGATAAAACTCTTAGTACATAAAGATATAAAATAGACCGTTTTACTCGCCAATATTGTATAATTAAAAAAAAAAAATTCACGACTCACGTTATTGAACATCTCTTCCGCAACTTCTGTAATTAAACGCGCATCTTCGGGATCAGATTTCGAGCCAATCCAAGCGTACACAATACCGGTACCGTCGTCATTGTTAAATGGCACATTTAAGAGGTAACTGTTGAAAGAAGGAAAACGATTAATCGCACATTACAGATGAAATATAACCGTATTATGGCATTGAGCGTCTCACCAAAAAGCGGAATTCAATAAAGTCGAATCCGCTACCGGCATCTGAATAAGACGAGTACATAAGGCACTACCGTTACTACGTAGATGATAAAACTCCACTTTGTTGCTACCTGCAACCTTTGGCTGTTTACGTTTGCCTTGGTGAATAATGAATTTTCGTTTGAAATAACTCATGAACTTCAAGTTCTCCTGTTGCTGATGTGTCCTCACGACTTCCAGATTTTCGCCGAACAACGACTTGAATTTCTTCTGCAAACTGAAAACAAAAATACAAACATGATCTGGCTCAAACGAAAGAAAATAAACGGGAAAAATAAGCTAATAAAAGTCAGATGCTGGCTGCGATGATAATTTAAAGCAACAGAAGAATAAAATTGTTCAATAGCGTAACATACGTGCCGGATTTTTAAATAATCGTAGATATATAAACTTATGCCGTAATATATCCGTACCTGAATGTGAAAGTCAGCCATCCCATATTTCCTGCGTCTCTACCTTGCCAAAAGTAAACTGTACATTGATAATCGTCCTCGTATTGCTCGTCGCCGTCTTCGTTCTCCGCTATGTCTAACGGCTGGTACAATGAAAACACACAACCGTTAATCGCAAATTTAACGTTTAGATTTTCTCGTCGATAGAGCCGAATGCGTTGTTACATACCATCCAATATCGGCATAAGAACACATAGCAATCCGCGCTGTAAAAATGTCCCAATTCCTCTTCCGGCAGCCGCACAAATTTCTTTCCTTCCAACACCAACGCTTCCATTCCCTCCAAATCATCGTTCCACTCTGTCATGAGCTGATGCGCCTCGGAAGCTGACATCAACGGTTGCCGTGGCATAAATAAAGCGGCCAGGTCAGCCTGATTACGGTAAATGATAGAAAATTAATAAAAATTTATAGAAGAATTGATACACACAGAATGACAAAGTGAGGATCTTCGTACGAGACGTGTCGACACGTACCTTCGCTTCCTGTTGCTTGGCCCATTTAGTCAGGTCTGCCCCAGTTTTAGCGACCGACTCAGCCGTTCTAGTAAAATCTACGGCGATCACTTCGTCCCATCCAGTAAATTTAGACTTGAAGATCTATGTATTGAGAATGAATGATCAATTACATTTCAACCGAATAGATTTAATAGGTTGTGGATTTATTTTCAACATTCTGTAAACATTCTCGTCTAATTCGATTGTCTTCTTGATGAAGCGAACTGATATGTTCACGAAACATTGAAAATACATCTACAAAAACCGTAAGTCCAAGGAAGTCTTAGACTTTCTTTACATCGTATGAAATATTAAGTTTAACAATACAAGTCATCTAATATAGATATGTACTTGAGACTCTGTGCCTTCTTGCAATCTTGTTATCATTGCATATTCCGGCCTTTCTATCATGTTGAACAACTCTTGAGACAGCTTCACAGCAGCGGCGCGCACCAATCTCGTTGACTTTTTTCCAAACCTATAATCATATGTAATTAACGTCTTTGTGATCAAACCCTTCATTCTTTTGACAATCATAATCAGTAAATGAATAGGATCTTAAACATTTTTCCTATACTTACCAAACATATACATCTAAATAGCAATCTAATATATATACATTGCGATTGTTTAGCAAAGTATTCGTTAATTTGCTGTGAGGAACTTCGACCTGTGGTAGTTCCAGATAGCCCATTCCGAGTTGAACTTGATACAATCTGGGCACAAGAGGCACAAAATTTGGATCCACATGTTCCTACCACAAAGATGATACGATTAAAATTATCGTAATAAAATCGAGCAATTTTATAAAAATATATAATATAAAAAAATTTAATATAATTTATAAAAATATACTTTTTTTCAGCTTAATGGATATTACGTGCTTTAATGCAATACTCTATATATAATTTTGTTTCAACTATGCTTACAACAATATGCCGATCCTTTTGTTCGTCTTCTTCCAGACCAAAGTGCAACAAGAAATCTTCGGACTCCGTATTCATGACCTCCGTTATAATCTCGGCTTTATTCTTCCGTTCGTTTTTGTTAATTTTTTCCGCCATCAATCGCGCCTTTGATTTCAGCGTGCTCTTCGCTTTTTTCCCGTACCACATGAATATCTTATTCCCCGTATCAAGGACGAACACATAACCGGGATCCAGAGACTCGATGGAGATTGGAACCGGCTCCAGATGTATCGAAGCTCCCGCTGCGTGTACTCTGTATAAACGAGTAATCGCCGGCTGAAAAAGAAAGCACGTGAATGCAAAATAAATAAAAATAATATATTTTGAAAAGAATCTATTAACAATTGAAATAAAGAGTGTAGAGGGCTTGTATATAGATCGTTAGAAAATAGCCAAACGCTCACCGTATCCTCCACTGTATAAAAACCGGACGATGTGCGACCGCCTTCAATGTATGTGATACCCGAATCGAACAGCATCAGAAATTCGTCCGACTCGTCTCCCTGCTCCTCTCTGATCGTCCGGCATTGCGCACCTAAATAGTTCCTCAGATTCACGGCATGGATCGCCGCGCACGCTCTTTTGTCCAACTGCAGGCGTAAGTTTAGAAGTAAATCAGCAGGCCTATTTTGTAATAGACGTACAATCGGAGTCACGGAAAAACAGTCGTGGAAGCAATCCTCGTATGTCTTTCTCTATTATGTCAGTTTAAAAATATACGTACAGTCGCTTTTTCTCCAATCCAGAAATAGATCGCCCAGGTCAACGATCCACCCTCATCTATCCCAGTTTTAAGGATGATGTAACAGTCGCCCTCGTAAAATTTACCGTGTGCCACTTCCTCGATCTCGTTCGGCAGGAAATTCTCGATCTCCCAGATCGACAGACCGGGTATCTGACCGGCATCTTCATCGAAGAACTCTGAATAATCCAGCGGCGGCTTCTCCAAGGCTTCATCCCATCGCTTGGGCCTGAAACATTAAGCGCCGATTAGTCTCGCGGTGACAAGCTCTTGCGCGTATTCGCAGCACTGAAATCCAAGAATATGCATGGCGCTACTCACTTCAACGATTCCGCTTTCGATTCCTCGCACTCCTTATCTTTGTTCTTCTCTTTTGCTATGTCCTTCATCCCCTAATCACAAGCAATCATAATTACAAGTCTTTTATTTTCTGTAGGAATATTACCATGTGATTCACTGTGATACAACTCGAGAATATGATAGTATACCTTGAGGATCTTAGCTTGATCTTGATCAGCCTCCTCTTGATCTCGCCTTCTTCGAAGTCGCATTTTACGCGCGATCGGATCCTTGCTATCTATAATCGAGGAAAAATGTGTTTAGATAAACTGTTCCAAAGTACCTTCGTTCTGATTTACTAATGGGATCATGTTTGTGCACGTACTGGCAGCTTGAACCGGAACTGGCACGTTGGCACCGGCGAGACGAAGCTGATGCTGTAATGAGAAGTCAATATTATAAAATTCGATGCCCGATCCTCTTTGCGCTTCTAACGGTTTCGGTGGCATAACTAGATTCGGATTGTCCCTCAAGTCCAACTGCTCCAAGTCCGTGAGCAGATGAATGGCGTCGGGAACAGTGATCAACCGATTCGACGTCAATATTAATTGTTTTAATGCACCACATCTGAAAACATAAAGAACATAAATATTTATGTCTTCATTGTGTTACATTGAGAAGGAAGATTTATATTCGATGTATCACATAACAAAGTGAAAAAGATAAAGAAAAAAAAAGACAAGAAAAAAGATCATCACCTGCACAGCCCTTCTGGTATCATTTCTAATTGATTATTGGCAGCGGAGAATACCTGCAGCGACGATAACTTTCCGATCCCAGAAGGTATGCCCTCAAAATCTAATTCATTATCATTTAAATATAATCTTCTTAAAGTAGAGATCTTGCACAGAGAAGCTGGTATTGCACTCAATTTATTTCGAGACACATTCAGAGTCTCCAATTTTGTCCACATTTCTAGAAAAGATATTGTTGTTCCGTTATTATTCCGTTATTATTCTACTCACACATACAGATGAGATAAATTTGTAACTATATATTTACCGATTGCAATCGATAATTCTGTTATCTGATTGTTGCTGAGGTTTAAACGACGTAAATTCGATAAAGAATAAAGCGCGTCAGGGACTCGGGGTAAATTATTCTGCGATAAGTCGAGTTCCTGTAAATTGGTTAAAGTTTCTAGACTAGAAGGTATATTATTCAACGTCCGTTGTGTGTCTCGCATTTGCAGCGTAGTTAAACTCATCAACGATGGCAATTGTCTGGAATAATTCGAAAAAATATTACAATCTCAAGGAATGATCGCACTGGAAGAAAAATTAATATTTAATGAACATCTCTCTCACCTTAACTGAAAATGGCCTAAAGGATTATGATTCAAATTCAAAGTCTGCAAGTTGGCTAAACGCCGAGTTTGTGGTGGCACAGTTTCCAACTTATTGTGACTAAGATCCAAGAACAATAAGTCTGTTAGATGGATAAACAACGTATTTGGTATCGTCTCAATGCTAAAACAATGAAAATAACATTAGAGCTTCTTTCAACATCTTAAAGTTGTAAACAATTATAATCTGCGCTTCATTGATGATACAGACTGATTATGACTTAAGTTAAGGTTGAGCAAGGAACGTGCTCTCTCTAGGCCTTCAGGTACCTCCTTCAAATTGTTGTGACTTAAATCTAAGGTTGTCAATTCCTCCAAATGAAATAATTCTGCTGGAATACCACTGGACTTAATGTTATTATGCCTGATGTTTAATGTTCTGAGACATCCCAATTCTGTTAATTCACCATACAACCGTTCCAGTTTATTTTTTACAAGTGAGAGGTGTTCCTGATGGATAATTTATTATATTATTAGATGTTATTAAATACTTTCCAATAACTACCAAGTTAAATATATATTCTTAGATATGAAGTGATTACACATATAAGAGAGCCGATCTTACTGGTTTCAATAAACTTGAAGTATGTTGAAAAAATATAAACAAAGAATAATGTACAATGTTTAGAGTGACAGTAGTAAAAAATAACTTGTTCTAAATATAATTCAACATAAAATTTCAAAGTAACATCTCATGTGTGTACATATATTTTTTAACGTATCTTATAATACTATTGTTAACTGTTGTCTTTCAAATGTTTATCAATAATTTGTTTAATATGAGTACATAATAATAAATAATCTTTAATTTTATATCAAGGATATATTTTTCAAGATCTAGTAAACTTTATTCAACATATTTCAAGGTCACTGAAATCCAAGAAACAGATCAGACAATCTTTTGACACAAAAAATAAATATTGTAATAAGAATTCAGAATAATATTTATATTATATAATACCAAATAATGTTTTACCAGTTTCAACAACTTGCCCATCTCTTCCGGAATCTCAGCCAAATTTGTTTTGTCCAACTTCAACCATTGTATCCCAGTCATAAGACGCACAGATTCAGGAAATTTGCCATCCTAAAAATTAGAAAACCACCTTAGTTACAACTTCACAATTAGCTAATATTAGCCTAATATTGCGAACATCCTTAGATGTTATCATATAACCAAACTGTCAAGTGTCACCTGACAGGTGAAAATTACAGATGTACTCCACAAACAATGAACGATGTTTGTATGCCTTACAATGAAAATTACAAATAACCAGAGATTTCGCGATATTCCTAAGATTAACCTCGTTGAATCCCCGGATACTCCCCGGGTATCCCCCGCTACTCACGCCGAAGTCGTTGCTGCTGAAGTCCACACCTCGCACGAACGGTAAAACCCCGGTGTTCGCCATTGTACTCGACGGCAGCGGCGACGGCAGCGGCGGCGGCGGCGGCGGCGGCGGCGACGTCGTCGTCGTCGTCGTCGTCGGCGGCCGATGCACGAAGTGCTAACACAGGATATAAGGTACCAGTTGCGCCAAGTGATATATCGTAGACACGGTGCGTCGCATCCATCGACGGACGGATCGTCGCAACGCGCGGACCTTTCAGGCTACACCGAGCACGACGACAGTGGCCAGACACGTGCTTCACTTCACCCGACGCACTTCCTCGCTCGTCCACTTGGACAACGAATGACCAACCATCACGGATGACGGAATGACTCGGAACAACGGCCGCCGGATCGCACGAATAGTAACGAGGGCGCGACCATGTTGCGTGACGACGGTCGTGTTTACAACGGTCTTCTGTGAAGTGTTTCCATTGCAACGACGAATATGCGCTGCATTCAGGATTGGATGCGCAAAATCAGCAAAAAAAGCTTTATATTACTATTGTAAAATTCACGAATTTAATTGGTGTATGCTCTTGAATTGATTAAATCCAAAAGCATGCATCAATTAAATTTACGAATTTTACAACATTGCAAAGCCATTTCAGGAGGTGCAGCAGCAAAAAAGATGCATGATCGATGTGCATCGATTATAGATGCGCCAATGACGTCCGCGTTTTAAAGATCGATCATTTAGTTGTTTCCCGGAACGTTGCCATAACTCTTTGACATCCGGCAAGAAAATTGACATTTTTACAAGCGCTCGACTCATAAACACGACGGTTTAATTTCCGAAATCGGCCGCCATATTTACATGAAGCGAACAGAAATCCTGAGCTAATTGATTATCACTACTTGATAAGAAAACGATTGATATATTCATCGATTTATCGGCTATTGTCAATGTTGAGCATCTTTCCTCATCGTAAGTCATCCCTGCAATCGCGCCTGTTATTCGCAATTTTTACAATTTGTATATTTCTACCCCGTTTCACAGTGTCACACGTTACGTACGCTGGTACTCAGTGAGTACAAATCTCGAGATCCTTGTATTCCTCAAAGCGCTCAGGCTGATCTTTTGTCAGTACTCAGGTACGAGTCGTATCGCTCGTTCAGTTTTATATCGCGCGCCTAAAACTTGAGTCACGTTGTACCAGCACGTTATCGGCCGAGGCATGCTTCTATTACCAGGCGGATTAACTGCAAATAGGGAGAAAGAGAGAGAGAGAGAGAGAGAGAGAGAGAGAGAGAGAGAGAGAGAGTGCGAGAGAAATACATTGCGTGGAAAAGAGCTAGAGAAGAGAGGGATGGAGAGAGAACGGGTGGGGGAGAAAGATAAAGAGTTAAACATTGCCGTGTTCTGAACGTACTGCTCGACGTTACGCACGACCGGGATCTCTCCGGCTATACATATTCTTAAAAAAACACAGCCAGCGCACCACGCGATTCTCACTCACGTGTATATGGCTTCAGTTGAGGAGTTGGACCAGGTCGACAGCGGCATGGGCAGCAGTGACACATGCTCTCCCGAGGTGAAGTCGCTCCTTCCCGAGGAAGGCGACGAAGATGACGAGGAGGTATTGACAATATGACTCTTTATCCGTGACTTGTGGTCAGGAAAGCGCCGAACGATCACTTAAACGATAATCGTTGGACATCGAAGTCTCATCAGACATGGTTTTCATGCTCCGAGCATTTGAACTTTTATGAAATGCAAGATCATTTTGGAAGAACAGAATGGGCGAAGCGCTACAGAACGTCCAGGCTCACATGTTTCTATTCCATGACTCTTTCATTCATCTGTTCTTTCTCATTGGAGTATGTCCAACGTGATAGATCTGTTCTTATCAGTTGAATTAGCTTGTACTTTTGCCTTTACAATAAAACAAATAAATAACCTAACATTTAAAGTAAGAGATATCAAGTTCTAGTACCGTAATCATTCAACAAAGAAAAAAAGGTCCTATTGATATACCGTATCATATAAAATAATTCTTTAATATTAATATGGAAATAATATTTCACTATTTGATCTATTGAGAACACATTCTTTATTCTTAGGATGAGAGCTTATCAGAGAGATTATTGGGGCTCACAGAAATGTTCCCTGAGCCTGTACGCAAATTTGGATATAACTTTGGGACTTGTCTGTGCCAATGTGTCAAAGGTAATCATTTTCATCACCTCATAAAATATTTTTTGTAAAATAGGAAAATTACAAAAATATACAAAAACAGGAATGGATGGTAAAAAAATATGTAAATATATTTTTCAGGTTTATATGCATTTTCCTGTTCAGCTACATGGGTGATTTTTAGCTCATCCACCATTCTCTTTGCACCGGTCATCTTTGAGGTAGAACGTGCTCAAATGGAAGACATGCAACGCACGCAACAGAAGCAAGTTCTCTTAGGCCCTAATACAGCTTTATCTGGCACCAATGCCTCCAGTCTTCCAATGGCACCACCTGTTCAACGATAAATTGTTGCATATCCCCATGTACACTTACACATACATATACAGCTACAAGATATATATAGAAATATCTAAATGTTCTTTGAAATTGAGTCTGACTCGACCCATTTATAGGCATGACTGTTCATACCTCACCAAATTTTACACAAGTCTCAAATATATTAAAAAATTTTTATGAAATTACTTGCATAAATCAAGTATGTACAACTTGCCTAACTGGAATAATCCCTATAAGATCAGATTTCTGATATAATAGTTTGTTAAATGTAACAAATTGCAACATTTATCAGTCTAGTCTATTCTGTTATATGTACACATACAACATAACATACATATGTACGTATTCACATGTACAGTCGTTCTCTTTTACTAATTTTTACTGAGAACCATACACTATGATATCGTACGGCATTTTATTGTTCTACCAATGCATAAGATATGTCGTGTGGAAGCAGAGGTAGCATTTAGTTGACCAAAAAACAAAATACCAGACTTGTTTGCTGTGCATAGACAGCGGTGCGAGAACTTGCAATATACTATTATTTATAGTAGATAATACACAATCTGTTGCGCGTAGTGTTATTACATCGCGTATGTTATTATCTTCTTTAATACATCTTGTCAGTTGTAATTTCGAGTGAAGGAATAAAAGATACAACACTAATATCTGATATATTATTGGCTAAGTATGCCAACACAATGTCAACCTTCTACATAACTCATTCTTTAGTTTGAATATCATTGTCTTTTTTGTGTAGCTCATTCCTATTTGCACCAAAGAAAAATGATTTTACATAAATTTTGTCCATATATGATCATACATAATTATGTGTTTAAAATGAAAAATGCTGTTATATAAATATAATTGAAATAAACAATTATGTTTGTAGCAACGTGATTTGATGTTTAATTGAATGACTTTTTTTATTTAATGTTCTTTTCCATATAAACAATTATATTTAGTGATATATAATTCTTACATGTTGTCTTGTACAATATATATTTCTTATAAAATTCATTTATTGTTATATAAACATATATATTCACATGTTACAATATCATACAATTATTTTCCCAGGTAATTGTGTAATTATTTTGTGGAGAGAAATACTTAAAATCTATATTTTATTTTCTCTAGAAAATTATACCGAATAAAATATATATTATATATAAATAAGTCATTTCACATTTTATGTGCATAATGTATTATAAACAACTGTGCACATATGTGAAATATAATTGAACAGCACATTCTCACACATGCGTCGTTGTATTGTAAGAGGTATTTTGGTAAGGTTATATTGCAAAGATGAACCAAGCTAACGTTGAAAAATTAGTGAACAAATTGAGATTCAATGTCAAACCGAATCCACGACGGATGAGAAATATTGACGGTCCGGAGGGACGGCTTCGCAAAATTCAAAAAACATTAACAGCGTTAATTAAGTACGAGCGAATCGAGTTGAATTACAACAGGGCTGACGAAACCAGAGGTTATGTAGAACAGGTATGTACATTGTACATTATTATTTACAGTAATCCTATTATTATGACGTAATATTTTTCAACAAATTAAAAAAAATATATATATGCAATTCTCGAACAAATATTGTGATTTGTGTTTGGTTATACTATACAATTATACTATACAATTTATGTTGTACCATCTATTTATCACTGTCCTAAATATTTTGATCAGTCCCTAATAAACTGATTATAAAATTGCACAAGATAGGACTTTCTAATTTGAATATCATATAGAAGTTTCAAATACTACATTGCATACTACATATTAAAGAAACATTGTACAAATTGAATATAAAGTTTAACTTTCTTCGTTCATTTAACTTATCCAATGGTTTATGTATAAGGTTGACTAATATCTTACTAATGTATGAAGTTAAAAACAATAAGGATGATATTTCATAATTTATATTTTGCTGGATATAAAGATTCATAACAAAGATTCATAACATTTTGTAGTTGATACATGAGGCAATACGCAATGGGCCTACACATAAAGAAACAATGGATATGGCCAATTTCTGGATAGCTGAGAAACAATTGGTGCACAAATTGTTTAAAGTTCTTGTACCAAGATATCAAGACTATACAATTTCATTTACAAAACTTCATAAAGCACCAAAGAATTATCCTGGCAGTCCGTATGAAAGAGCAGTTTTAGAATTTAAAGGTGAGTAAAGAAACCTTTTAACAAATTGTACAAAAATTCGTCTCCACTTATGCTTATGATTATTATACTTTAGGTAACATATATCCAAGCTTAGAACAATATAATCCACACGAACGAAATTTACTTCACAATTTACTTCTTAATGCAGCAAAGAAGGAATATCGAATGGAGAAATATCAAGAAGTTGCAGAAAATATAAAATAAGAGTTGAATACAAGAGGAGGCTTTAAGTAACACACTTGTATACAGTACCTTAGATCAAAACAAACATTATTAAAATAAAAGTACAAAATTCTTATACTTCTCTTCATAATTTTCCCTTTATTTTGAGTGTACGAAGGAACTTAATGGATAGTGTTCCTTGAATTCTTCCAGGTGCTTTTCCATTAAATTCATTTGATTCCTAAGAAATATAAAGTATACAGAAGTTAAGAGACAACTGCTGATAACCAATATTAACTGATACAATTGTATATACTAAATATACCTGATATGATTAGGAACTTCCTTGTAAACATCTGTAAATAATTCTTTCCAATGTGGCTTCAATTTCTTTTCCGCCTCCGCGAAAACACGAAGCACCTCCTTCTTCGTGGAATTAATTAACTCTTCATCTTTCTTTTGAGACCACAGTCCAAGTGATTCTAAATACGCACGGAACTTGAACAGGGGCGTATGAGTATTCCATTTGGCAATTTCGTCGGCTGAACGATACGCGGTAGAGTCGTCGGATGTACTATGATGTCCAAGTCTAAAAAAACATTTTTCCCTCATTGCGCAATTTGCGTTAATCACATGACAATGTATCATTGAATAGCCAATATTTCGGCAAGCAAGGAAAGTGATTGTAAGATATGCATAAAAACAATGATTTTGAAATGACTGAAAGAAAGATATTTGTAATCACCTGTAAGTCATGGCTTCTATTAAAACTGGTTTTTTATGCTCTATACAGAAATTTCTGGCAGTTCTCATAGCAAAATATACAGCCAGCACATCGTTACCGTCCACTCTGATAGTATTAATTCCATAGGCCGGACCTTTAGCCGCGATGCCATCACTTTTAAATTGCTCTTCGACTGATGTGGAGATGGCATATCCGTTGTTACGGCTGGTTACCATATTTTTTTATTTATTATATGTATATTTTTATATTTTATATATATTAGAGGATGAGAATAGAGAGACGTCATTGAAATTACCAGAGGAAAATGATAGGACTCGATAGAGTGGCTGCAAAATTGAACGCTGCATGGGCATCACCTTCGCTCGCTGCACCGTCACCAAAGTAACAAGCCACACACGCCTTTTTCTTGGTCAATTTAAAAGCATAAGCAGCCCCTGCAGCTTGTGGCAATTGAGTTGTCAATGGGGACGATATAGTCATAAAGTTACATTCCTTTGAGCCATAGTGTACTGGCATTTGTCTGCCTTTGCCATCGTCCTCGCAGTTTCCATAACATTGATTCATGAATTTTAACAAGGGATACCCTCGGTGCAGCAAGACGCCTATTACAATTATTATTATGGCAATTGCTTCTCTCTTCTCAGAAGTGTACGATAATAGAATGTGTAACACTAAAGTAAACATTTTCGTACCAGCTTCCCGATACTGTGCATAAATCAGATCATCCAGGGTTAAAGCAGCAGCAGAACCAATCTGTACAGCTTCTTCACCAGTATTTGTCATATAAAAAGAAATGCGACCTTGCCTTTGTGACTCGTACAGAATTTTATCCATCACACTTATTGTTACCATGTTGTGATATATTTTTAGCAATAATGCATCTTCTAACTTTAATGCAAAAACAAAAATAATTAGTTATCTATATTCTTTATTATATAGTATTTGATTTTGATGAATAATTAAATTATATATATAACTAAACTTTGAGAACTGAACCTTTTCAGGTAATTTAGTTTTCTGCGGATGTTCCAAAATCCTATATATAGGAATAGGCTCATAGCTTTCTTTATTAACAAATTGTATTTTGTTTGTGAAACTACTGTAGACTCCAATGAATTGTGGTTCAGATGTGTGTTTTGTACTACTATATTGCTTTATCTAAAAGAATAATATAATATTAGACAAGAAAAATTAAAATTAAATATCAAATATTAAAATTAAAAGCATATATGATATATTAAAGAGACAATGTTACAGGCAATTGTAAACATATCTATAATCTATAATATAAATATCTATAAATTATATGATTAAGAAAATAAAAAGGAAAGAGAGAGAGAGAGAGAGAGAGAGAGAGAAAGAGAGAGAGAGAGAGAGAGGAGAGAGATAATCAGTTTTGAAAAAAGAATTTTCTATAAGATCTTTTCTCTAATTAAGAAATTGTTTAGCAATCATTTTTAACATCTGTTGCAAATTCATGCTTTTCTTGTTAAATATTAAATATCTTAGGCCCAGTTCCACAATTTGCTTTAAATGGAGTTTAAAGCTAAACTGATAGTTAAATGCGAAGTATATGCATATATATTATTGCTTTTAATCATCGGTTTAGCTTTAAACTACATTTAAAGCAAGTTGTGGAACTGGGCCTTAGAAACGAAGACTTTATACAGATTTATTTTATTTACAAATATTTTTTTATTAATTTAGAAAATACACCTACAAACTCTTTGTAATAGCCCATTTAATCATCTAATAGTGTATATATGTGCATGTATGTATTTAATTCAATATGTGCAACAAGAAAATCAAAATCAAAAATGTACAATGTAGATGCATGACATCAACATATATTACACAAAGTAATTATTATAGAAATATGAACAATAATTACAATAGATATATATATATTATTACAACAAATGTTAGGTAACTTATCAAATGTTCCATGTTGATACCTGTAATAAAACATGTCGAAAACGTGGAATGCTTCTGAATAAGCTTTTCGTGATCATTTTGTATCGTAATAAACAACGGGCATTAATACACTAAAAAGATTCACGCAGAATTTCTTACACTTTCGACACTTATAAATGCTCGCAATTGATTTACATGTTCGATTCTACTTCATTATTCAACATATATGAATAGAAGGCAACAAGTGTGATACATATAAGTGTATATACGTCAAGTGTACGTCACAACCATCAGCGAATTCTGTAGGCAATTCTGCTTAGTTAAACTAGTTAAGATTTCTTATCTTCAGTGAAACAAGAAGTTTATTCTTTGAAGAAAAAAACTTCATTAACCTGTTCAATAACCTCCTATCGGTAAATTATGTTGAATTAACATAGATGGTAAATTATGTTGAATTAACATAGATAATAACTACGACGATAGTTTTTATGATTACAATTAAACTATTGAATTATGAAGTCTCAATTTAAATATCGATTTACCCAAAATACTACCAGAATGAAAAGTATCATGTTTATTATAGAAAGTAATTTAATAATAATTGAATTTAAATTAATATTTATTTTAATAGTAATAGCTTATATTCTTCTCTGTCTATTTTTATGACTTACGTTTATACACGTTATATCTTATAATTATTATATACAAATAATCATAGCAGGAATTCACAGGCTTTTTGCAAACTTTTCTTTTAAGGTTTCCACAAATTAAACAATAATTTGTAAGAAACCTACATACTATCCTTGTGTGAAGATATCTCTAAAAGCATGCAATGAAATAATTGCATCTTTTATTACTGCAGAGCTAAAATACTTGGTAATTTGACTTAATCATTAACTTTATGGTGGGAAAAACATTGCACCAGGTATATGATGATAAAGACGATTTAATTCCAGCATAAGATACTACAATATCAAGTGTAATATCATTTTATTCTAAATCAGATTTCAAGTGTTGGGTTCTTTGTTTTTACCTAAATGAGGAAATTTTAAATTCTTTGATATATTCGCATATGCATGCGTAATGTTTGGGGTACTATTGTTGCCGCATACACACAACGACGAGGAATACACTAGGGTGCAGGAATAAACGAAACGGTATTCGTGTCTCGCTTCGTCTCGGATTAAGATTGATCTATCTGTGCCGAATTGTCTATATAATATCGTACTATATAAGATCGTGAGATATCACATAACTATCATATTTATACGTATCGAACGAAATAACGATGACGCGAGACTGCTTCTTTACCGAATAGCTACGTCGCACGACATAGAAAACCAAATTATCACGATACGTATATTTCCTCCAATCAATCGATTGTGTAAGGGTATATGACGACGACTCTTCTCTTCCTCCTGCTCCTCCTCTTTCTCCTTCACACGTTATCCATCTTTAAATAGTTTAGGTAGAAGAATATAAATACCGTGGCACAGTTTCGCACATTAACACGCAGCGGCCCGCGCGAGCGACTGCACCTGGATAAATTATCATTAAAATTATTTTCTACTAGTTCGTCTCCTACACTCTCAACACTCTCATTCCAAGAGCTGAAGTACCCGTTGATACGTTCCATGGGGTAACACTAGTATTTCAGTTATGTTAGCACATCTTTAAGTTCTGACTGAACATAGAGGAACTGTCAGTTCCTTGAGGAACAACTTTACCTCAGTGTCGTATTAACACAACTGAGACCAACATACGAGAAGTTCTCGATGATGTAATGCTACGTCATAACACATATGTACGTCGAACGCACATCAACACCGCCAATCATTTAATTTTTTATAAGGATAACAGCGACGATAAAAAGTTAAAGTGATTGGCAACCGTCTCGTGGCGTGAAATTATTAGGAAAAAAAAAAAAAAACGCCACATGTATACCACAGTCCTTGCTTAGCCATGGACAGCTTCGTTCGGCGTACTTCAGGATCGTTGCTATCTTGTTAAAAGTGTTACGCGCTGCGTAACATTGCATAAATTAATAATAATACTTTCCATACCCGATCTTATCGATCACTCGAGATTAATTTATCAACATATGAACAGGATGAATGAAGTACACAATGATGACTGGCGCAAAAAAATAAATAAATTTTCAGTTCTATGAAGGATCATTAAAGGCTCAAGGAGTCGTCGACCAGTTGCTTGAGTTCCTTGAGGTGCTGCATCTTGCTACCGGTAGCGGGCGACGACGCAGTGGGGCGTCCAGCATATCTGGAAACACCAAAGTTCTCTCAGAACATGCAGACTCGCTTTTAAAAAGTCATATCACATATATAATAGCTACAAATGATAACAGTCAACATCTCCTAATGAAGATCAAGTTTCAATATTTAAGAAAAACACAAAATGCGAATATCATACAGTTATATCAATATTAAGATATTAAATATGTATTATTATATACATATATGCAAATCACTGTTGTATCGTCTCAATTATACAATTGCTATATTAATATTAATATAACTGTAATATTTTTATGATATATTTATTGTACAGGCATTAAATAAAAGAATTTCAATCTAAAAATTCTGTCTAATCGTGAGTAGAAATCATAATTTAGTAATATAAATACGGAGGTATGGGTTACATATTTACTCATACATCAAAATGGAAGTTTTTAGAATAAAGATTTCACATTAAATCGATAATTTCATTAACGTTACCTCATTATTCTCTGTTTTGTTTTAGCAGGTTCTGTTGACTCTGGCTCTGACACAGGTGTGGTTTTCGTCGGTTTGGACATTGAGAACAAACCGGCAAACCACCCTCCATCATTCTTACTCGTCTTTGACGCGCTTCCGACACTGCAACACACGGCCCAAATTTTTTTACTTTATTGTGAGAAACGTGTAGAGAAAAAAAAAAATGCTGCTGCTGCCGATAACCTCTTATAACAACGATAAAAAAACATATGTTGCAAGGAACATGATCGATTGTGAGATGTCTGTGCGCGTTGCACAATCAACAACTTCGTGACGTCACCGTGACCAAAAGTAAAAAAACATGTGGGCCGTGTGAACAGGTAGAGATACAAGAAGCGAAACGCAATATAGTGTAGCAAGTGCATCCATATTCGTAACACTTCACCTCACTGACGGCTGCGTTATCTCTTATTAGTACTTACGTCATATTTCGGGTGCCGTTAAGTGCCGTGTGGAACCTAGGTTGTACGTAAGTCCATGCGCCTTGATTCTTATGCTCCTCCTGAGACCATACCAACTCTGCGTTAGGATACTTGGCAGCTTCCTTCTTCACGAGATCATATGGGAAGGGCGAGATCTACAAAGCGCAAAGAAATTATATAATTAACATTAAAAACTGCACCGTATATTGTAAACAATTAAATTATGCCAGCGTACGTTGTTGACAATTATTTAGTGTATATATTAACATATATATTAATATATTAATAAAAAATGTTATCGAATGTTGAGCGCGATATAATTTAAATCTTAGTAGTAAGAGATTGTACCAAAAGTGACATAAAAAAAAAAGATCAAGTAACCTGTTCCACTCTGGCGATTGCGATTTTATCGTCTAATTGCCGCTCTGCGCGGGCTTTCTTCAGGTCGTAGTAAACCTTGCCCGAACAGAACAGCAATCTCTTGACATTGCTGGGGCTTTGAGCTGCCGTGCCCTCTTCCGGTATCACTCTGAGGAACTGTGTGCTTTCCAACATCAGATCGAAGTTTGACTTAGCCTCCGGATGACGAAGCAATGATTTCGGTGTCATCAGAATCAACGGCTTCCTGAAAGGCAGCGCAATCTGTCGTCGTAGGATATGGAAATAGTTGGCTGGTGTGCTACAATTTGCGACGATCCAGTTGCTATCGTGTAACTGACGAACGGCGAATTCTTCGCTCTCCGGCGGAAAATAGTCTGGATCGTCGGCAGACATTTGAAGAAAACGCTCCAAACGAGCACTGGAATGCTCGGGACCCTGTGACAAAAGAAAAATGTTACGCATGTACTTGTACAACAGGCGAACATGATCACACGCACGCATACATTTTATAAAAAATTAACTCGTAATTATTATAAGAAATAAAACTATATATAAAAAGCAAGTAAATGAATCAAAGTTGTTTTCCTGAGATCTAATGAAATGATATTTAAATAAGGTGTAGATTTACCATTCCTTCAAGGCCGTGAGGTTGCAACATTACGAGACCAGACTGTCTAACCCATTTGGCTTGACCGCTGCTGATGAATTGATCGATTATACATTGCGCGGTATTGTTGAAGTCACCAAATTGAGCTTCCCAGCACACTAATGCGTTGGGGTTTGTCATAGAGTAACCAAGCTCGAATCCTACGAGTGTTCGCAAAAAAATTCTTACTTATTTTACTTGTACAAGTAGAAATTTTGTAGATATTAAAATTATATTGAACACAAAATGATCTTACCAAGCACACCGAATTCAGAAAGAGAGCTGTTGCATACGGTGTAAGGTGCCTGATCAGGATACAAGTAGCAGAGTGGTCTATAAGTTGCCTTGTCAACCGTCTGATGGTGCAACACGTGATGCCTATGAGAGAACGTGCCTCTTTCTACATCTTGACCCGACAATCGGACATGAATACCTTCCTTGAGAAGAGATCCGAAGGCCATAGCCTCTCCGAGAGCCCAATCAACAGTTCTTGACTCGATCATCTCCATGCGAGACTTTAAGATCCGCTCAATACCTAATAAGATACCAAATAAGAGATTATTTTATATTTTATCTATAATTATTTATTCTAGACAAATTATTAAAATATATAAATATTAAATATTAAATATATAATATTAAAATATGCAGTATTAAAAATAATCAATACTTCTTTTGTAATAACATTTAAATATGAATTTTATCTTTATGCTAAATGAATCAATAACATTCAAATATCTCTGAATCAATCTCTCTCTGCAGTATTAATTTATACAATATAATTAAAATATATAATATAATTGAAATTAATGAAGCAACTTATTTTTATTATATAATTAATATATAATTAATAAATAAAATATAATTAATAAATAATATATAATTAATAAATGAAGCGACTTATTTTTGACGCCTTTCTACATACCTTTAAAGACAACAACTTCTTCCTTATACTCACCTTTATGGACAACAAACTCCGCCGCATTTGGTGGCAACGACGAAAACTTCTTCCCGATATGGACAAGAGTGTCCTCCTTGATACCAGTAGGTGACACTTTCAACGGGTCTTTCCCTTCGAAGAAACCAGACCACGGTGAGTCCAACCAATCTTTATACTTAATGTGCGTCTCCTGCCTGGCATTGTTATACGCTTCCTCGCAAATCTTCTCGTATTTGTCTTTCACGTCCTAAGTTTAACAACAGTTTTCAACGTAAGAACAAAATCACGTGAAACGCATTACGCGCTATAATTTGAATACCTTCACTTCTTCAGGAGTAACAACACTATCGGCAAGAAGCGTACTGGCGTACTTGTCGAGAGCCGGCGGGGTGTTCTTAATCTTGCGATACATCAGAGGCTGCGTGAACATGGGCTCGTCAATCTCGTTATGGCCGTTACGCCTATAAGAGACCAGGTCGATCACTACGTCCTTATGGAAAGTGGCCCTCCATTCCGCCGCCACCTTGCACACGTGCATCACAGCTTCAGGATCGTCAGAATTGACGTGAAAAATGGGCGCGTTCACCACCCTAGCCACGTCTGATAAGTTTAATGTTAAATGTTAAACTTGCTTTAGTTATCTATTGTTGAGGAAGAAAAGTAGAAGGTAGAGTGAGATTCGAGCTTGTACACGTGTACTGACCAGTACAGTATGGCGAAGATCGTGAATGCCGCGGGTCCGTAGTGAAGCCGATTTGGTTGTTCACGACGATGTGAATGGTGCCGTGAGTGGTGTAATCTGGTAGGTCGGATAGATGCATTGTCTCGAAGACAATGCCCTGACCGCAGAAAGCAGCATCCCCATGCAGCAGAATCGACATGACCTACATGACGCACGGATGATCCATTAAAAAAAATGATTATTGATCTGTTAAGAACTCGGACAGATTCGATCAGAGTTGTGGTTGCACAACATGGATATGCGACTGAATGTACGGGTAATAATATTTTGATGCAACTGCAACAATGCTCTAACGTAACTTTCATTAAACTGATATTCCATCAGCAGGAACTATGTAAAATTACGTTGCGTAATGTCCAGGACGAACATTTTTCTCAATTAAAGATCTCATGTTGCATAAATTTGTCGTAAAAAAGATATCCTTGGCGTATATAACGCTTATATAACGAAATCTACACTAACTTTTTTGCCTTCGCCGTCGCCCCGGTAGAACTGTTCGGCGCGTGTTTTGCCTTGGACTACCGGATCTACAGCCTCCAAATGTGACGGATTCGCGACCACAGCGAGCCGGATGTTCTTGTTGGTTACACGATTCAGACGCTCGATATACGTGCCCAAATGATATTTCACGTCTCCGGAACCCTAAAAGATGACGCGAAACGCTCAGGTCAACAAAGTAATTACGGCAATGCACATGTTTCACAGCTGTCGAGCATGCTCGTTTAGTACTTACATCATCGGCAGCTTCGAGAGCAGCAAATTGCGTGAATATCTGGCTCAACGGCTTGCGGCAGACATTAGCAAGAACGTTGAGACGGCCACGGTGAGGCATACCCATGACGATTGACTCGACTCCCAATTCCGTGGACTTATCGATCACTTGCTTCATAGCTGGAATCAAAATTTCGCAACCTTCCAGACCGAATCTCTTCTCCGACGACCATTTGCGCGCCAAGAATGCCTCGAATCTGCGTCAGATTGAAAGACACTCATCGACTACGTTTCTCAGACGCCAGTCAAACAAGCGTAGAATTGCGAGACTCTGATATTGCAAATTCCAAGCCACATCTCCACGTCCATTCGTTACAATTTTTTTATTTATTTATTTCTTTTCAATAGAGTGACCGTGAAGAAGTCTACCTTGAGAAGTGTCTCGCAGTGTGTGTGTGTATATAAAATTAAATGTACATATATTATTTATTTACATCAAACGAGATAAATAAAACAAATATAAAGAAAAGATAAGTAAAAATAAAGAGAAAGAGATAAATCAAACCATTAGGTTCCTTCTCTCGCCCCCTAAAAATTTTGTGACTTCCTCTTTTTTTGACTTTTGTGAAATTTATGACCTTGGTCTTTGATTTTGAAGTGTCATGTTGAAATTTGTAAGTTGGAATTTGAGCCCGCGATTGACGTTGGTCTTATTACCCAGTTGCACGCGTCAATCTGGCCAGGATAAGTCTCTTCTCGTCGTTCGTCACTTCCATGATCCCAGGTGTCTCCATCTTCTGCCTGATCCAGTTGCATTGCTCCAAAGAGTTTATGAACATAAACTCGACGCCGATGTGGCCGCAGTAGGCGGCTTCGAGTCGCTTCAAGATCTCACGCAGCGGCAACGACTTCTCCTTACCACCGATAAACGTGGTGGATGGTAATTTAAAGACGCGATCCATGTCTGACTCCTCTGTTTTAAGCGATTGGAATAAGAGACAGAGAAAAACACACGTATTTTACAAATACTCCCCGGCGGCGGACCAAGAGTTATCTAAATGCCGCAGTTTGTAGCAACACGCACACAAACGTGCTCGAAGCTGCGGCATTTGTCTGTCTTAAAATACTCCATTTGTCATAAAGTGTAAGTGTACAATCGGTAAGCTAAATCATTATGCGAAATGAGTCAAGTATACTCGAGTCTTCTCTTTTATCATTTTTTTTCTCCCAAATGTTTTGTTCGAAAAATTTACTGATACTGAAAATGTGCGTCTTGTACAGAAAAGGATTTTGCCTCAGAACTATATTCTTCGTTGATCAGTCAATATGGTACAATAGTACAAATTAACACATTTGTCATGATCTCCTAATTTTGTCATGATCCTCATCATTTCAATTCGAGAAATGACACATAGAGTTCTCATACGTCATATACGCAAATCGTTTTTCTGATAGCGATATACCTTCAGTGTTCACAGTGTATAAAGTAATTGAGTTGAAGATGTAAACATGCAGTATACTTTTGCGAGATATGTGAATGTGTACTGTACGCCACAGTATTTCACAATATTTGCGAACACAGCGCAAACAAGTAGTAAAATTGACAGAAGAAAACAAAATTCTCGAATATAGAGACGAAAGCTGTGTGGGTTGAGAAATAAAGCGAGTGTTATTAGAAAACCACTCACAACACCATCAAATATAAAAAAAGATGACGAAATTTAGAAGAAAATAAGGTGGAAAACATATCGTAAGCAAATTGTGATTAGTATTGTAACGTGATATAAAATTATAATTATTAACACAACATACAGAGATACAAAAAGAAAGAGCATACGACAGAGAATTTGAGATAACGCACACAACACGTCAATCCGTTACAGAGAGCAAGATATTCGGAATAAAAAATAAACGCGCTTAGGAAAATAAAAAAATAATAAAAAAAAAGGGAAAAAGAAAAAGAAGAAGAAGAACCCAAGCACCTCCATAGACTTTCACCCAAGTAGTGTTCAACTTTGTGCAAATACAAAACTGGTGCTTCCCGATAATTTGTTGGCAGTGAGAGAGAACCTTACAGAAAATTGGCGCTTTAGATGGTGATTATTACATACGTTTCATAAGGGTCGATACTCGATATTGGAGTTCCTGCGAGTAAGTAGTGCGTGGTCTCTTCCCTGTGGACATCAGACTCAAACTCAACAGTCGACCAAATACCGATCACTACAAAGATTCTTCTTCTTTATTTACTACCGTATTGTTTGCTGCGTGTTCAGTTTCGTGTTTGTTCGTAAAAGACATTAGGAAATTCAAGAGATCAACCGATGAACTTAGCAAATGCCCGATTTGTCGAAGTCAAATATAAATTGAACTCTCCGCTATGGAAGACAATAAATTGTTTTCTTTTTTTATTTTTTTCGTTCGTATTCTTTTCATATTTAATAATTATTAGTATTACCCAAATAAATCAATCGTGTCATGTTCGCAGAGTGAGAACAAAAGATATATGAAATTATGAAAATGTGCAAACGGAGATAACAAGGTGTGTATACTGAAAACTGCAAAATTATATTGAAAAAACTAATCAGTGGACTGAATGAATAATACGATAAATCAAATAGCAAGCGAAGCTTCGTAAGCACATTCCGTGTGTGTATATCAACCGAGAGAATACTGATAGAAGATTCGTTTCTCTCATATAGTTCATTATGTAAGAACACATTATGCGTTAATCTTAATTTCTTTTTATTTCTTTTTACGTCAAATGCAAGACGATATTTGAATGTATTTTACAGAATAACGGTATATATAGGTAAATATAGTTTTCATATGAATAATTAATACTTGGAAATGTGCTTGAAGACGTAAACAGTCACAATTGTGTTATCGATAGTCTAACTGATTAGTAATCTTCGAAACGATCAAGTGATGTATTACTGCTCGTAAAAGAGAGAGCTTTTATATATTTACTCTGTCTTATTAACGCAGAGACACGTTCATTTAGGCTTACCGAATGAATAATGGTTATACAGTAATTCTTGCGGATGTCTATCGTCAAGATCAGCGCTGTTGATGCCGAGTGGATCCAATTTAGCGATATGATGGCCACGAATCTGTCAATTTAACGGCACATTCATACGAACTGGATAGTCTTCAGATTTTCATTGCGTCTTAATAGCGCAGTAATGATATAATTAAGATAAATTACTGTGCTTGATGTTTCATTTACTCTCCTTCTCTCTTCAAATATTCCAGTATAGTACAACGAAAAAAGACAATACTATACGATGCAAGCCATCATTATTTTCATATATATATATATATATATATATATACTTATAACCCTCCACACTGTATATATATATATATATATATACATATATATATATATATACAGTGTGGAGGGTTATAAGTTTACAACCCGAAGTGTGAAGGTAGATTAGGTTAAGACAAACATAAAAGTCCCGTACCGTTTTGCGAGATTCGCAATAATTATCGAGTTATTAATGATAGAAATCTGAGGAATGGGAGCGCGCCGACATAGATGATTGGAGAAGTGTTGCAGCTACTCAGGCCACAGTACGGCCCACTCGACCCAGCAACTGTTGGCGGCATGCGGCGAGACGTAGGTCCGGCGACGTAACAACGAATAGCGGCGCATTGTCTTTCCCCTCGCCGCGCACCGGCAACAATTGCTAGATCAACTGGGCCGTGCTGCGGTCTAAGCAGCTGCAACGCTTCTCCAATCATTTATGCCAGCGCACTCCCACTCCTCAGATTTTTGTCATTAATAACTCGATAATTATTGCGAATCTCGCAAAACGGTATGGGATTTTTATGTTTGTCTTAACCCAAACTACCTTCACACTTCGGTTGTAAACTTATAACCCCCCGTATATATATATATATATATATATATATATATATATATAAAGGGAAAAAAAGAAGAAAGAAAAAAAGGAAAAAAAAAGAAAAGAAAAACATCATATCACAGTAATTAAAAATATGTGCGTACTAAGTATTAAAATTTATAAAGCGTTAATCTGTAGAACAAAGTTTAAGAATTCATCTTGCGAGTGTGTTATCCATCCCTTAATTTTTCTTATTATTACCAATGCTTTATGCGGTGTTTTTCGCTCAATTATGAAACAAGAAACAATATAAGTGATTTCAACTATTCCTCTGTTATGGCAAATAGAAGTAAAAATAATTATGAGTTAGTTAAGAAAATTGAAAGAGAAACAGGCATATTAAACGACGAAATGCAAGTGACCAAAAGCGATACATATATAACATATACGAAGTGTGCATGCAAAACCAACAGGAGGAACTTTCTTGTTCTTACCTTTGACGTTTTACTCACATATACGTTTCTATGTGCATATTTATCGATTTGCATTCTGTCAACGGGATTTTATACTCAGCCATTTCTATCGCTTACACATATGGAAACATATGTAACACACGACTGATCGCATACCCAATTTAATTGTTGATTATTATGGCAAGATGACGCGAAAGCAGTTTCATGATTCAATGGAATGTGTTTCATGTTTATACAACCACTTTCAGTATCAGTGCGAATTTATCATAGTATATAAAGCTTACTTGACATCATTTGTAATACATAGCGTAATATCAATCTTATATAACACACTTTCCCTTTCGCTAAACTTAAAAATGATTTAATTACAGAGTATTTTAATATCGAAAAACAAGTTTGACAAATAAAATCTCCAAACTACTTAAAAATTATTTGATCATGGAATGTTTTATGTCAAAAAGAAACTCGATAAATAAAATCTCGTTAGGACTGTAAAAAAATGATAAATTTTTACTTTTTACTTAACTTCATGAATTTCTTTATAGATTAAGGTACGTTTGATATGTTGTAAAATTATTATTGCGCTTTGAGAATTTGTATAAAGTTACATTATTATGAAACACAAAAATGTCAAAGAAAGGTATATTCCTTTGTCGGGAAAATCAAATGTAAGATGTTATTTAAAAATGATCACATGAAATGATAATATACCGAAAGCGCACTAGGAAAAGCTGTTTCAATGGATAAAATCACAAAAAAAAAAAAAAAAAGTATTTCTTGTTCGTATTTACGTAGACCACACATAAAATCCAAACCAATGTGATGTAATTCTCATACATCTTTGTCGCATATATATGAAGAAATCCAATGTCTATAGAATAAAACAAGCCCATGAAAAAATGCTTCGGGGATGTAAAGCCTTACCAAGCATATATTGTCGCAGCACTTGTTCTGGGGACCCTTTGCGGGCTGCGTAATGTGTATGTATCTGGTCTGTTTGCATAATACCCAAGGGATCCAGATCGGCAACTAAGTGACCTCGAGCCTATACGTCAAACGAATAATCCCGAAAAAAAAACTTCACATTTATATCACTGTGCTTAACTTTGAAATTGCGCTACATATAGTTCCAATCAGAGAAAAATAACATGAGGCGGTGTAGCTGTACAAATAGGTAAGCATTCTATTTCTATACTTTCCAATCTTTACAACATAGTAATGAAATTGAGATTGTCCTTGAGAAATTGCACACATATCAGCATTTTTATCCTTTCCATAATTTTAATTTAATTATATTAAAGAAAAAATCACGATCATTGTGTTATATAAATTATCAAATTTCGTAATTTCAGTCGATTTCGGTCAAACAAGTTGGAAATTTATACTGCTGCTTCTTTCTCGATGTTAGTAAACATCCAGACTACTGACATTATGAATATGAGCCAAAATTATCATCGGAAAGATCATGTCACCTTTGCTGAGAAAAAGATGGAGTTGCAAGGCACTTTTGGAGATAAAATACGCAATAAAGCAATTATATAATATTCGACATAATAGATGTATGACTATAACCATACTTGCTAATTACACCCAATGCATTCTGCAATCATTATGTAACTTATCATGTGATAGCACATGAAACGTATGAATGATGCTAGAATTTTTGAAAAACATGCGATAACGATAAACATAAATTTTAACGTCCACGTAAATTTTATTGTCCGTGTACTAGCTTCGTACTGACATGATCATTCTGAATTTATATAAGTTCATATTATATATATGTATAAAATTTTATATTTCATATTATATAAAAATTATTTCTTCTGCTTATACTTTTACTACATATTTTATATAAACGAAACTAGTACGCAGATATTAAAAGCTTTTGTATGGTGAATTTTACATGCAAAAATATGTATAAGATTTCTAGGACTGTATATAAGGCGCATGTATACATGTCTGCCCGAAAAATAAATTCTAATGCATGCCACAACAATTCTCCTAATACACAAATAAATTACGAAAGTTGATATATCAACAACATCGTTTTTCTTTAAATATAATGGTATTAAGCAATTTATCAATTCCTCTATTATTAAATATCACTAAAATTAAAAATCTAATTATCAAAATTGTTATTAGAATATAGTATATTTTTCTCATTTATATAAATTATAAGAGATTAATATATTATTCCATTTAGAAACATTCTTTCAAGCTCCCACATACTTTTTATTAGATATTAGATAGGAGCATAAAATATGTTAAGTTCACGATTAAAGTATTGTAAAAGGAAAGTAGGAAAAAAATCTCTCGATGCATTACATCACGTATTTTGTTACACAAATAAATTGCTTAAGGCTAAACGAGGTGTCGTCTCTTGCAAGCGAAATAATAACATTAACAACGATTAACAATTATCGTTATTCATCATATTTTCGGCACAATATCGCAGGATAAGAGCGTCATGCGTCATATAAGACGCTTGTTTGCAAGAGTTACACGTTGAAATCTTGGACGTGAAGATAAAGCAAACAAAATTTCGGCATTATTTTACGGACATACCTGATAAGAACGAATAATAGCTTGCACTGCTAGATGATCGTCAATAATTTTTTCATTGACAGGCATTTGGCCAATTTGCGTTCCAGCCAGGGGCAAGAGCGATCCAAGCGGCACTTGGTTGTGACTTGGAGCGAGAGATGGTGGTGCCTGATACGCGTGCCCCGGAGCAGCTCCAGCGGTGCTGTTTCGAAAGAAGGAGTCCCATGACTATAACAAGAGGGAATCAAATAAATTTTAAAGATATTTTAAATGCGATGATTGGAATAAACATCAAAACTACATTTCACGGGATGTAAAGTAATAAATGATCAGAACGCAAATGTGAAGCTAAATAGAATATAACTGAACTTTTGTTCTGCACAGAATCCACACACACATATACACACGTATAAGAATATCCCAAACTTCGCGACTTCAATTTTACCGAGTTTTCCAAGCAACGTTTATGATGAGAAAAAATTATTTTCATATTGCTCAGAAAAATTCTGGGTTAAATTAAGATCGCGAGATCTGGGGCACCACTGTACATGATAAATAAAACTTCTCATTAATTCCATTCTGCACCCAACTTATAGCTCGGCTCTTGTCACCGACGAGGTAATATTGGAGACCTTCAGTTTTAAATTCTTCAACTTACAAATACACAAATTTACGATGTTCTTGATAGATTTAACAGTTTAATGTATAATATCTTAAAGTTACTCACCACATGCACGCTGCTAGGATCTTGCAGCCACGCGTTATACATCAATTCGACGTAGGAGCTGGAGCTACCATTTAGGAAAGGTTCGCTTGAAACACGGCTGTTGAGCTTGCGCGTGGTTTCGGTGAAGATTACCTGGTTAGTCCTTGTTAACGGATGACTGCGGACTACCCAGGATGCGTATCTTTCACGCCCGCATATGTTTGGCGCCAAAGGCGCCAGTCTATTGAACAATGTCCTTGCTTTATACATTTTTTTTTACCTGGAAAGCAAAAAATATCATTGTACGTTATCTATCTTGATCTTGTTTGATTGTTTCATCTTTGGGTAGAGGGAAAGAGAGAGAGGAAGTGCTTTATCGTAGGAAGTGCTGATGATACGGGAAGGATACGGATAAGACAAGAAAAGTGCGCAAATTGCGGCCATAGAGATAAGATGTACTTAATATTTTACGTGTCATTTAAACTGATTAAGCGAGCACGTTATCTGAAGATCGCACCTGCAGTTAGATTAAGGCACATCACGCAAATGCCTTGTTTAATCATAAACTACTAATGAGGGGGGTAAAAACACAATAATGAGGATACAAATACACCGATAAGCATGATACCAATACATATTATGCTCATCTTAGGCCGATACGGTCGTCATAATCAGATTCGTTCGGTCTTATCTGCTATCTGCCGTTTTATCGCGACTTCATGCGTCATCCAACTTCTAAACTTTGTCTGCATAACATATTAATTGAATGCTTAGACACGCGAGGAATAACGGGAGAGCACATTTTGCAAAGTTATGTAAACAACTACGTCGATGCACCCGAGGTCCCATATAACGCAATTACACATACGTATATAAGCAATTATACATGCATGTTTTGTTATGCATGTTGGGTATGCGTCTGTATATGTGTGAAAGAATACATATATGAAGAGCGGTACTAAATAAAGCTTCAGTGTGAATTTATGCACTTATGTTTACAGGAGTAACTCGATGCTACATTTTGGACCCGGGTATATAGATCACAATTCGCAATTGCATCACAAGACGCAATACGTCAAATTCGAGATAAATGTATGATGGAATCGATCGATATCGGCGTACGGCTGAACAGATGACATGCAATATACTTTGTGAATTGCAATAAATGATCGGCATGTGTGACTTGGCTTATACTGATATCATTAACACACGCGCGCGCGCGTGCGCACATTGTTATTACATTATATAATATTTAATGTACCTGTACAAGGTGACTTACTTTAAATGATCGCTTAAAATATCTCGAAGGAAATACATTACTCGGAAAAATATTTCAAACAAAAGTTTGAACACAAGGTCAGACCAAGGTGACTGCTTTATCGCCTCCTGAGATCTAAACAATTTTTTGCTTTGAAACATTTTTTGCGAATATCCATTGCTTCCGGAATATTTTTAGATAGGCATTTAAGATGGGTCACTCTGTGTGTATGTGTATTTGTATAAACAATTGATATATATTTGATTCTTATACTAAATTGCAATGTGAAAAACTTATGCGTTTTATTGTTAGCACTGTAAATATTCAGACGTAAAAGTTCTATTTTAAAGAACTGGCAGTCCTCCAGATTGCATAACAGAACGCTTTCTGAAGAAAAATTTCGTCAAACGCCCCACGGAATTCTGCAGAAAATCTAAAGCTCTCATTGAGAACACGCTGTGTATACTTTTGTCTGGATGTAAAAGATCATATATTATCTTAAAAGGTTCTCGAAACGAGACCAGCGGGATTAAACGATCGGCAAAACACTGTTATCTAAAGTATGAGAGAGATACGTAAGAAAGAGTACAAAGAATAAAAAGGCGCCGTGTGTTGAGGTTGAGGTAGACACGTCAACTGTAATTCTTTTTGCCATTATCAATGGCAGACGTTTTGCCTGTGATAAGCGTTGACAGACGTTCTGTCTGTCTCGCCGACACATTCGTATTTTTTAAGTGATGTAACATTAAAAAGTATTAAATTTCCTTCAACAGTAACGGCAGTTTTCTCACTTTTCTTTTTAAAAACAGGAAAAAATTCCACAGCTTATACTTAACGCTGTGACCTCCGGACTGAAATTCAAATGACAATACTGAATATATATAGCATGACGGCGAAACTTCAAGGCTTTGAAAACGACTTTTGACATATAGAGTTAAACAGCAATTATTATATCGTTATACTCAGTAATCGCTATCAAATACTTCGAGTTTCATTAAGAAACTAATTTAAAGATTATCAGAAGAAAAGAAATAACGATTAAACTAATCTATATGAGAGTATTCATTGATATATCTTCATTCTAAAATGTTATTTCTTATTTTAGGAGAATTAAAAGAATATGTCACGCGGGTGGTGCAAAATCAGCGACATGTTATTCGACGAATAACATTTGGCTCGTTACACGAAAACATGACCCACGTAGTATGGACACGTGAAATCAGTCCGGCGTAAAATGTGTCGATAGAAAAGAATCGATTTGCATGAAATATTTTCCGTTAAAAAATATATACGAGATGAAAAGCAATCGTGTGTATGTGTGTAAATACATCTTGTGTATTAATGACTTTAACCGTGTAACAAGCAAATAAAACAAATTAAGAATTTTTCTTCGCGTATTTCCCCGGTAAATAATCCGGGTGGTCATTATGCAAACATCAATATCGTTATAGGACGCGAATAACATTTTGTCACTTGTTTATCCCACTAAACGGCTAAAGCGCAGAGAAAGTGCAAGAAATCGCGATTACAGAGAATCCGCCGAGTCTCAATGAATTCGCGGTAGAACACTTTCGAAGGAAACCTGACGATCGACTGGCCTCGTTAAACGCGACTGCGGAACACTATTGGGGAAAAAAAATCATCGAGAGAGAGAGACTGACTCACCTCTTGCGATAAGGTCTCCGCGAAATTACGGAGGCGGGGGAATACCGAACGATGTTGGAGATCTGCGCGTTAGCTCGCGCGGACAGATACCCCGCTCTCGATGAAACGCGGTTTCGCGTGCCGTTGCTTAAATGTCATATCGCCGGGATGACAAGCGAGAGGCGCGCAATTACACAACATGCGATTATATCTGCATTTTTTCTCTTATCCTCGTCGCGCTTCGCTGTACCGTTCACATTCGGATTGCACACACCGAGCTTAGAGACAAAGATCGAGACCATGAGGGAGACAGATGCTCGCGCCTCCATCGACATCGATTAAACCTTAACCTTAATCCGAGTTCATATTTTTGCTCAATACCGGTTTTCATCAACGTTAGTAATGAAATCTCAATTGAGATTCAAACTTCGGTTAAATCGACGTTAGTACGTTTCAGTGTTGGCACAGCCAGGTAAGGAAGAGTGTGGAGGGGGGGGGGGGGAAGAATGAAAATTCTGCGAAAAGGCACAGTGAGAGAGAGAAGGGGAACAGACCTTGTGCGAGTTTTCCGCTTTTTCTCCGGTTACATTGTACATTTTCCGCGTTCGGAACGAGAAAAGGCGCGACCTGACCGTTTGTTTCGGTCAAGGATTTCCCGCGTTTGAAACAAAGAAACGAATCCATGCACGTTGCTCTCGGACGAAAGAAAAAAAAAAGAAGAAACGGTAGGCGAGATGAATACAGACGATGCATTAGTATGTAGAAAAGAACGCGGGCGGGAAGCTTAATTGAACTCGAACGCATGCACCGCATGTGCGAATGCAGACGAGACGAAACGGGAGCTGCGGTTGCGCTCGTGTCGCATTCGCACGCGAATGGACCCGGTGAAAGATCCGCTGATGAAATCTGCAAACTACCGCGGTTCATAAGCAACGTTATCGCGGAGACGGTTAGACGCGCGTGAACATCGTATTCGTGCGAGACGCTCGAGTCGCAAATTTGGCGATTAGGGTGTCACCGTTAGCGAAGGACAACCGCATGCCGCCGCAGCGACGTGAAGTTAACGCCGAGCACGTTGCGCCTGAGCGCGATGGATTCTTCCTGAAAAGCCGCGACGAGTACGCGCGAGTCGAGTGACTATTTTCGTCGTCCGGTCGCGACGTTTTTACGTAATCGACCGTAACCTGGCGTCATCAACGAACAAAAGCATATACATATGCACGGCGTGAGCGAGCAACAGAGAGAAGGACAGAACACCGTCTGGTCGATCGATCGTACACGGATGGGTCGGTTATGAGGCATCGCATTGTTGGCGAATTTCAACCGAGAGATTATGTTTCCGCGAATGTCGCGATGTCGTTGGGAGATCCTAACCCGGCCGTGCGCGATGCGTCGTCGTCGAGCGCGTACTTCATATCTAGGCTTGCTCACCTGTTGTTAACGCGCTACGACACCAACGAACCGTCCACCATTTGCAAACTAACTGGCACGTCGTCATGCATCCTCCTAAAATACGTTCGCGACGTAGATCCCAGCGCCACCTGGTGACGAAAACGGACACGAGACGCTGAAGAAGCGGCCGCGTTCGAAATTGTCGCTGTCGCATATAACGATGGTGCGGGACGCGCGACGCTAACGTTTCGTGGTTTGTATACTGCACACTTTGTTGAATTTTTGCGTACTCCTCCATCCTATCGAGAGAAAGAGAGAGAAAAAGAGAGCAAAGGTCCGTTATTTGTAGATACACTGGATTGCGTTCTGTGTACACTTGGAGTAAAGTGGGGTTAGAGAGGCTTCGAAAAACGCTATCTTTGCGCCTTCCTGATTGTCAAGCTGAAACAATGTTACACAATGTTGACACTCTCGTACGAGAAAAACAAAAGTTGGAATCAAAAAGGTACGTTGACACTGGCTGCGTTCAGAAGAACAAAATAATCAGTGAGCGCTTAGTGATTCTCGCTCCTGATTGGTAAATACTTCTGGGTCTATGAAGAATCTAAAAGAATGCTCCAATCACAGACAATAATCACTAAGCGCTCACTGATCATTTTGTTCTACTGAACGCAGCCAATAGGAAAGTTTGTTTCTGCGAAATTTCCGAAGTTCTTCCGTTAAGTTCTCTGATTGGACACCTATTACGCATCGAATTGCAAGCCAAAAGTGTCCAAACTATTTTGAAAAGCCGAGTACATAGAATCTCGTCTTCGTAACTGCACTTTCTGAACTATTTTACAATCTGTTTGTTTTCTGCTCTCTTTTATAAAGTACGTGTCTACTTTATTTATTAAGTGCAGACAGTGCAACGTCGTGCAAGTGGCTTGCTTGGTAGAAGAGGAAAGAGAATAGAAGGATTAGAAGACGATTGAAAAATGCAAAAGAACAGACCTCAAGAGACCACACTTCGGTTTCGTTTCTTTCATTCTGATTGAAAAAAAGTATCTTCCCTCTTCTTCTTGATATTGGCTAAGGCTGTTGTCTGACCATAGACATAGTATATCTAGGCTGCGTTCCGATATTCACTGCCAGTATTGAAAATATATACTTTATGTCACATATATTATAGATTTTCAGTACTGGCAGTGAATATCGGAACGCAGCCCTAGACTGCGTGTTCGAGGAGTGGGGGTATAACTCTCGTAGAAAAGGAAGTATTCTGTTTTTACTGTTCGTTCTCTCTCGCACAGTCCCGATGAAAGGGATATAGGGGAGGCAGTTGCTGTACAGTGCTGTATAGTAACCACCGCCCCTATTCCCCTTCCATCAGGACTGTGCGAGAGAGAACGAACAGTAAAAACCAGAGAGGAACGTGAGAGCGGCCAACACGGTGTTTTCGACGACACCGACTTTCCGCACTGGGAAAGGACGTCATCTGCACCCATTTTGAGAGGGGAATGCTACGATGCTACATCCACTTTCAGGTTTCGGCGGTAAAACCTGTATGTGGTGGCAGTCCGTGCTACATCCATTTTTAGGCGGTTTATGTCCGTGCTACAACCATAATAACGTACTTGACAAGCACGGTCTCGTACATTGTTACGCGTTTATAACATGAATTGTTTATAATATGAATGAAACATGTTAACATGCAAAAAAAGAAGAATTGACATTGTGTATGATTAATATCATGAAGATCATACGAAATGTCCGGTAATTAGCTGCCAACCCGAAGTGTGAGGGTAGATTGAGTTAAGACAAACATAAAAGTTGACTTGGACATAAAAATTGACTTGGAGTACTCCGTGCCCACGCGTGTTATTCATAGCGACGCATTCATATTTTCCCTGATCTGTTACATCGGATTCGATAATCTGCAAGGCACCTGAAACATAAAATATGATATTCTCGAACAGCGTTCCTCTCAGGATTTTCTTGTCCAAAGAAAGATCAATGATGCGATCGCAGATATCGTGTATGTCATGTCAATAGAGACAGTTTGAATTCGGCGTAATATAATTCTTGGAATAGACGTAAATAAGTATTGTGAAGTTTGAAGCGAATCTCTCACAGGCATGCTTTGAAAACACGAGTTATTTTCATTTTCAGCTAATGGACGACGCAGGCATCAACACTGATCGGCAAGGTGGGGGGTAACAGTGCCTTCATGATTGTTTGGTTTCGTACCCTTATATATGACTCCGTGATTGCGGAAAGGACATTGCGCCTCGGGCCGACGAACGACGCGCATACCGCGACGCAGAGTACGAGTGTCGGTAGTCGTATCGATTAATACGCGTTTCTTTGTCCCCGAATCTTACTTGCGCGAGTGTTAGAGCTAGAGTCAGTGTCGTCGCCAGTGCTACGATGGAGTATCCAGGGGTGCTGCGACGGAGTAACCAGAAGGAGGACGTCGGATCGAGAAGTCAGGATGGAGAGAGGACTTGGAGCGCGCCGAGAGACGTGGACAGCGATACATCATATATGGTATTCGAGGTACCTTGAGTAATTATTATTACGCAAGATTTTTCTGATTTTGACGGACCTTACTCGAAGTAAGGACATACCCGAGTCGAAATTAAATCAGCATTCATAGTTTATCATCTGAAAAATGATAAAATAGCTTGAGATTTGATTAACCTAATTTCACGTAACATGAGTTCTATTTTTCTTTTCTCATAAAATATGAATGTCTATTCAAGCAAGGTTGCTGAGGCAAGCTAAGGTTTATGAATACAAATTTTTAATTATGTTCTCAATAAAAAGTTGCACATAATTTAGAAAACTATGAATAATGATCTTAGAATCTGATATAAATTTTACAAGTGTTGATTTTTATTCGTTTAATAATGCTCAGATTCCTGTTTTCGTTTAGAATCTGCTAGAATGTCCGTTTCTCATTCTTGTTTATCTTTCTTATTGTACTGAATCTGAATTAAAATCTCTATTAGTGAAACAGCATTATTAGACATAACCGTTGTCTTTGACTTTGCAGCTTCAGCTCTTTTGAGAGCTACAATTCTCATCATTCTCATTAGAAAAAAGAAAAGAAAAAAAAGAGAAGAAAAAAGGAAAAAAGAACTTTAAGAATGATGAGAATAAAAAGTGTTTTTCATCTCCCACTTCCTCTAATTCTTATATGATTATTTAATCCTTATATATTTATCTCACGCGCAGTTCTAACAAAGGCAGTTCTATTTACGTTTTTATCTTTGTTCTCTTTCTTGCGCTGTTAAGCGAATATATAATCAACATCAACAAAAATTGCTCATTTAAATTAAGAATATAAGGATTAAGTACATATACATTATCGAGATAAACGAGTATTAAATAACTGCCGAATACGTCGCTGTTGAAGACTCATCATGGGCGAGACTGCGAGAGTAGCCAGATGTAACGTCCAGGTAGGATAAAACTTGTTCACTATTGTGCATCTAGATATTCTGCATTGATTTTTCAAATTGAATGCAATTTGCAGGATCAATGTAGAATTAATATTTCGACTCGGGAAAGACTTTTTTTTTTATCAAATCCTAACTTGTAGAAAACTATCGATTTGAATGTCGGCAAGAAAAAACGGAGATACTTTTGTTAGATATTTGACAAAACGCCGGATCGGTATTTATCCAATGCTTAAAATATAACACGGAGAACGTTTTAGTTGCATGAATAAATTTTCGTTACTTTCCGCTTGCGGTTTTCGATCGTTAGCGGCGATTCAGAGACGAAGAGAGAGAGGAGAGCGAGAAAGAGAGAGAAACGTCTTGCCAGGATTTCTGCAGACCGGTTCATTTCGACAGATTCGGTATTAAAATATTAGACGTAGAAAAAATAAAAATGAAAAAAAAATTTGTTATATTAGTACAGAAAGTCCGACGTACTTTTGTCAAATAGAGATAAGTACTAAATTTTCTACACGTTAGGACTAGGATAGAGAAAACGTCAAATCTTTTGCGACGATGGAATTAAACAGCAATATAAATTTTGATTTACGATATTAATCGATATTCGACTTCCGGTACTGATTTACTTTCTCATTTCTCTATAAGAGGAGAAAAAATTAATACGAATCGTTCGTTTATATATCCGCGTTAATTTGTTGAATAAATTAGAGGGGTAAGTACCTGAAAAATGAGAACGAATTGTCATTGCACTTGGACAATCTTCTGACACTGATTTCTGGTATTGATCGATATTCGATTTTCGGTACTGATTTACTCTTTCATTGCTATACAAGAAAAAAAAATTGATACGACTCGTTCATTTATCCGCGTTAATTTGATGAATAAATTAAATATCGGTCGGTCTTCAATTTTCGGTACTGATTTATTCTCTCATTTCTTTATAAGACAAGAAAAATTGATACGAATCATTCGTTTATCCGACTTAATTTGTTGAGAAAATTAGTGGGGTAAGTACCTGCAAGATGAAAACAACTGGTCATTGCATTTGGACAATTTTTTGACACTAATTTATGGTATTAATCGATATTCGATTTTTGGTACTAATTTACTCTTTCATTTCTCAATAAGAAAACAAAATTAATACGAATCGTTCATTTATCTGCGTTAATTTGATGAATAAATTAAATACTGATCGATCTTCAATTTTCGGTACTGACTGATTCTTTAATTTCTTTAGAAATGAATAAAAATTGATACGAATCGTTCTTCTATCCGACTTAATTTATTGAGTAGATTAGTGGGGTAAGTATCTGCAAGATGAAAACAACTTGCCATTGCACTTGGACAATTTTCTTGACATTAATTTATGGTATTGATCGGTCTTTGGTTTTCGGTACTGATTTACTCTTTCATTTCTCTATAAGAAAAAAAATTGATACGAATCGTTCATTTATCCGCGTTAATTTGATGAATAAATTAAATATTAATAGGTCTTCAATTTTCGGTACTGATTTATTTTCTCTTGGTTTTATAAGATAAAAAAAATTGATACGAATCGTTCGTTTATCCGAGTTAATTTGTTGAATGAGATTAGAAGAGTAAGTACCTGAAAAATGAGAACAAATTGTCATTGCACTTGGACAATTTTTTGACACTGATTTATGGTATTAATCGATATTCGATTTTTGGTACTGATTTACTCTTTCATTTCTCAATAAGAAAAAAGAATTAATACGAATCGTTCATTTATCCGCGTTAATTTGATGAATAAATTAAATATTGATCGGTCTTCAATTTTCGGTACTGACTGATTCTCTAATTTCTTTATAAGAGAATAAAAATTGATACGTGTCGTTCGTTTATCCGACTTAATTTGTTGAATAAATTAGTGGGGTAAGTACCTGCAAGATGAAAACAACTGGTCATTGCACTTGGACAATTTTCTTGACATTAATTTATGGTATTGATCAGTCTTCGGTTTTCGGTACTGATTTACTCTTTCATTTCTCTATAAGAAAAAGAATTGATACGAATCGTTCATTTATCCTCGTTAATTTGGTGAATAAATTAAATATTAATCGGTCTTCAATTTTCGGTACTGACTGATTCTCTAATTTCTTTATAAGAGAATAAAAATTGATACGAATCGTTCTTCTATCTGACTTAATTTGTTGAGTAAATTAGTGGAGTAAGTACCTGCAAGATGAAAACAACTTGTCATTGCACTTAGACAATTTTCTAACGCTGATTTATAGTATTGATCAATATCCGGTTTTCCATACTGATTTAGTCTTTGATTTCTCTATAAAAGAAAAAAAGATTAATACAAATTGTTCATTTATCCGCGTTAATTTGATGAAAAAATTAGATATTGAACGGTCTTCGATTTTCGGTACTGATTTATTTCCTCATTGTTTTATAAGATAAAAAAAATTGATACGAATCGTTTGTTTATCTGAGTTAATTTGTTGAATAAGATTAGAGGGGTATGTACCTGAAAAATAAGAACAAATTGTCATTGCACGTGTGCAATTTTTTGACACTAATTTATGGTATTAATCGATATTCGATTTTCGGTACTGATTTAGTTTTTCATTTCTCTATAAGAAAACAGAAAATTAATACGAAGCGTTCATTAATCCGCGTTAATTTGATGAATAAATTAGGTATCGATCGGCCTTCGATTTTCGATACTGATTTATTCTCTCATTTCTTTATAAGAGGAGAAAAATTGGTACGAATCCTTCATCGTTTAACCGAGTTAATTTGTTGTGTAAATTCCAGCGGTAACTACCTGAAAAATGAGGACAAATTGTCAATGGACAATTTTCTGACTCTGATTTATGGTATTAATCGGTATTCGATTTTCGATACTGATTTACTCTTTCATTGCTTTATAAGAAAAGGAAAAATTGATACGAATCGTTCATTTATCCGCGTTAATTTGTTTTTTTTTTATTATATATAAATGGTCCATGGACGTTTAAATATTCGAATACATGTTGCCGTATCAAAGTCTCCTCTATAATAAACGATTTGACACATCTGGAGACGCATGATGTATCGTTGCCCGCTTCCCATTCCCTTCGTCTTGCTTCCCTGTATAAAATGTCGAATTGAAACGTATTAAAAAGTATTGACATTTTGAATATGTCTGAATTCTGAATCTTTTTGATCCGAAGAAAAGGATTGAAAAGTATTAGTTCCTATTAAATTTTACTGCGCTAAATGCGAGACGGTCTCTTTCGCCCGGGTGCCTCACCAGGGAAATTTCTCTGGTACGCTAAATCCTGTCCATCAGGCTATCAGTCTTTGTAGTATATCTGGTCGGTGCATAAGGTTTATATTACCTGTACATACATATTTTGAAACATTTTCTTTGGATATTATATCAAACGGATTTTGCATGTCACGTAATATCCTCCGCACTACACGGACATTATTATTTTGATCATTTTTATTTCTTTGGTATTCATTGAATTATCCAGAACGCGCAACTGCCATGTTGAACGACTCAATTGTCGTGTGAAATGTTTCGATTTTCACAAACTCATATAAAATTTTTCATTTTTCACTGATTCACAGAAATCTTTCACTTTTTATTAGTTCACGCTAGGGAAAAGGTTCATGATCGCTGCCCCGAGCAGTTGCAACGCTTTTCGAATCATCCATGTCGGCGCGCTTTTACTCCTCAGATTTCTGTCATTAATAACTCGATAATTATTGCGAATCTCGCAAAATGGTATGAGACTTTTATATTTGTTTTAACCCAATCTACCCTCACACTTTGGGTTGGCAGCTAATTACCGGACACTTCGTATGATCTTCATGATATTAATCATACACAATGTCAATTATTTTTTTTTGCACATGTTAACATGTTAATTCATGTTATAAACGCGTAACAATGTGCGAGACCATGTTTGTCAAGTACGCTATTATGGTTGTAGCACGGACATAAACCGCCTAAAAATGGATGTAGCACGGACTGCCACCACATACAGGTTTTATCGCCGAAACCTGAAAGTGGATGTAGCATCGTAGTTCCCCTCTCAAAATGGATGCAGATGACGTCCTTTCCCAGTGCGGAAAGTCGGTGTCGTCGAAAACACCGTGTTGGCCGCTCTCACGTTCCTCTCTGGTAAAAACTGAGTGCTTCCTTTTCTACGAGAATTATAACCCCACTCTTGAAATTTGGGAGAACGCGCAGTCTAGGTATACTATGTCTATGGTTTGGACTGTTGTTTGACGGCGAGTCATTGGTCGGAATACAATATGGCGCGGCGAGTGTAGGAAAGTGCAATCGAGACGAACTATACAGTTATATCGATACTCCCGTTGTATCGAATCGTCATTCGAAGTGATGTTCACGTAGAAACGAGAATTCATCAGGTCGCCATCGTGTTTTTTTACCGCGTTCCTGTAAGTTTTTTCATCAATTTTCGTCTTTCCTCGCGTACTTTCAACGTCTGTTACGCATTTGTCTTATTTTTAGCACAAGATGTGTGATAATGCAACTGAGAGGTACAATGTGCTGATTGCTTGCACGATAGCGTCGATGATCGAAGAAGTGGGCGGTTAGATGTTTCATCGAGCCTGTGCAGAAATCGGTGAGTGCACGAAATTAGTAGGCGTAACTGGCAATAATCATATAAACACCAACTACTAGTAATATTATATTAACATTATAATAAATTATAAAAAATAATTTCTCATTCAACAATGCAACTGTTACGTATAATATGTATTACATTTATATCACCAAATGAGAAATTAGAGTATTAATTGATTAAGCGTTACTGTTAGTTGTTGTTTGCTGACGACCGATATAAGCGAAAAAAGACGATAAAATTGTGCGTTTGGATAACGTTGCGGTTGCTCGCAAAATTAACGTTGCGTTTTAACGAATGCAAGTAGCTGCGACTTCAAGCTTCAATCTCGCTGATTTTCGAGAACGGCGCGAGAATTTAGAACGCTTTACATTAGGTTGTCGCATATCCACGACCTTTGAATTTGTCTGCGCGATTTCTTACGAAACAAAGGAGATTGCACTCCGCGACAAAAGAATGATGTAATCATTCACCGTGTTTATTGTAACCTATGAATTATTTTTTTCATTGAATCTTTCGACACATACACACATTGCGGCGAAATCACGTTTATCCGGTAAAAGGGCCCGGCATATTTTCAATCGCGGCTCATCGAGTTTTTTCGCGCTGTGCGAGTGAAAAATTATGGAGCTTGGATAAGAGAAAACGAAGTGATCAATATGAATGTTTCCATCAACATGAGCGAAAAAGCGATTCCAGGTAATTATTGAATAATTCCAGGTAAGTTATTGAAGTTTTCAACAATTCGCGAATGTGTTTCGATTTAAATCTAATTTAAAATTTCAAAAATTCAGGCTTAATTTAATTTGATTTAAAAAAGAAATGGAATTAAATGAAAAGTAATGAACTTAATTTCAAGAAATGTTTATACATTCCGTATACTTTCAGCATCATCTTTAAACAGTCAGCTGGAATCATATAAATTAAATGATTTGGAAAGCAGACCAAACATCACGCTGAAAAGTATTATAGCTTATCAAGCGAATCTTTTTCTTTTTAATTTACATTAGCGTTATATGCAACATTAATATTACATTAGAGTGCAAGAAATGAGATGTCTGTTCTAAATACTTATTACTTTAGACATTCATATTACGTTACATTAAGAATTCATATTTAAATTCTTTCATATTTGACATTCAAATAAGTTTTTCCAACTAAACTAACTAAAAACTAAAAACATTTCCAACTAAAAACCATCATTAATTCCGCTTAGAAATGGGACAAGAGTTAGACATGGCAGAGACAAAATGTCTTACAATAAAATCCGAATTAAGTTACATGATGGATGTCTGCCAAAAAGGACAAATGGAAGTGAAAGAGAGGAAAGGAACGCCCACTGTCGAACAAATCGCATCGCTGTTCAAGAGCCCAAGCTCAAAGTCCTCCGTCGAGTATTACAATTGTAAATTTAAGTTTACACCTGCCAATAAAACTCCAAACTGCAACAGCCTTCGCAGGCTACACAACATCGAGCAGAAGGCTGAGGAAAATTCCAGTAAACCTGGCGTTCTTCGCGAAGCAGCCTGTACATCTAAATATTTATATTTCCATAGATCCTTCCACTCTAAGCCCAAAATCTACTCAGTTGTCACCCAGAAAAAACATCGACGACGACGACAACGGCGACGATACGGCAAAGTGCGAAATTTTGAAGGAGGAAACGCAAAAAGGATTGCTGAATGTCACGATTACTCCGAGGAGTCGGTTAAATAAAATGCTTTCTCTTAAAAGATGCGTGAATCAAGTACGATGTCTTTTAAACGTCTCTAAGACATCTATTAATAGTCGTCACTTGAAACTTTCTCGCGTGAAATATTCAGATCTGAAGATTAGTCAGATTCGAGTGTTTTATTTGAAATTAGACAAAATAATTGATTGTAAAAATAGGAAAATTGCACGAAGGTCTTTATTATTAGTCCATTGCTTTTGTTATCATTTTTGAGTTTTCATACAGCTGAATGTGTCTAGACAAATATTTTCGATCGCGGTAACAGAGATATCATTTCTTACCGAGTTTTCCGTCTGGTTCCTGGTGAACTGAAATCACGCGAAAACAATTAGGCGAATCGAGTTTCTCCGTGCGAACAGGTGAACAACAAGTACGAGAGCTCGTCATCCTCTTACCCGGAATGCGTGCACGAATATCAATCTATGCTGAGTATCGAAAGTTCCGTCGAGGGATTCGTATCGAGAATGGACAAAGATCACTTGTGCATAACGCCGAACTGCATGCAAGAGGATACCGGAGAAGCGGAATTGAATCTGGACACGTCGAATGATACGAAAACTAAACAAACGGTAAAATGTAAATATGCGCCGGGGAACGACGCAAATTCCACTTGCAAAATGAACGAAGCCGCGACCAGAATACGGAAGAGGAAAGGAAAATTACGAAGCTCGGATTCCAAGAGCACGGTCATGACAAAGGACACGGGTAGGAAGGAAGCGAGAAGACGCAAGAACAAAGGTAAAATCGTCCCTGCATCGAGGGGCGAGAAACATTTAAAGGATGAAAAATATTTAGTCGGTGGTTGAGACAACACGCGTTCACCGACACTAGCTCACCGAATAAATATTTCTTATACATGTGAGATATGTTTCTTCTCAGTGTGGCCACGGCGTGTGTTAACGTATAATTAGAATATAATTAACATATAGTTAACACACACGCACGCACGCACACACATTACATCACTATTTCGCAAGAGTGTGTTGTATCGAGAAACCACCGTGCCGGGCGGCTTGTTTAGTCGGAATTTTTAACACAGGTCATGTCGTTACTCGTCAACAGTCCGTCTTGTTGAAACATACGAAAAAATCCAATGACGTCGTGGAGATTTTTCACAATACCACATTAAAGAGCAGCAACTCCAGAGTATCCTCTAAATATTCTAAGCTCGGTCGAGGAACGAAATATACGAAGAAGCAGAAACTTGCTGAAACTGCTGATCAGAAGACGAAAAAAAAATCGTATTCTGAGCACGTTGTTCGCGAACATCAATTTCACGATAAGAAGAATGAGCAGAATCGCTGCCGTGAAATGTTAAATCATAAGAGCAGTCCGAGGTAACTTCTCAAGATCGTAACAACAGTAATTATTGTTATTATTGTAAAAATAATTCTTGATTATTAACACCCTAATCCTTGCTGCTATCAAATAACTGTTTGTTGTTCGTCGATAGAGCAACGGCCAACAATGTTCAAAAAGAAAAATCGGGGAAGCGCTTTAACGATCTCCCTGTTGAAATGTTAAATCGTGAAAGCAATCCGAGGTAATTTTTCACAATCATCATATCAGCGATAATAGAAGGATAACGAAGCAGCGATAATGAATATAATTATTTGCCGTCAAATGTGTCGTCTCGACAGCGTAACAACCGACAGTGTCCAGAAGCAATACAATTCGAACGACTCACCGACGCAGTGCAAAGCACACCAACGCGAGCAAACTGTGTACGGCGAGTTCAACGATTCGATGTTTACACCCAACTACGAGATGCCGACTCTGGCGTCGAAGTTGAAGCGCTCGAGTAGATCGTACTTCGGCAGGTTTAATTCCCGCAATATACCGTTCGTAGTGAGTACCTCAGTGACCCCGAGTCACAATCTTGGATTGAACATTCAGCAAGTAAGTCGGTGGAACGTCGAGTAGAAGGGAAGTTGGCAGAGGGTTGAAACGTCTTCCGTGGCAGGTTTTGAACGTAATGAAGACGAGACAACCGATCATGGACGACATTACTCCTTTGTTGATACGTAAAGTCAGCAGGAGCATGAGACCGGTATCAACTCTTCTGGAACAGATAAACATGCAGTACGACAGATCTATTTTCGACCTCAAGTCGCAGACGACCGGTCAGCTCAACAATAAGGAAAGTCCGAATATTAAGCAAGACAGAAGATTATCTATGCTCGAGTTGCAACACGTGGCGAAGGCACAGAGCGTTCAAACCGCAGAATCCGATATCGCGAAGACGATTCCTGGAAGCGATAGCGCCCGATTTTATAAGGAGAAGGACGACTTTTACGAGGAGTGCAAGATGAAGCAGCAGCCCACCGTCGTCGCGAATAGGAACAGCACATCGGTACATGCGAGAAACCAACAACGAAACTCGAGGATATCGTTGTTAAGCAAGGAGGTAAATTACGCGTCTTATGCTAGACGTGAACTGTAACTTGTTGATATTACAGGACAATATCGGCGATCATAAAATGCACGTCGCTGACCCGCATCATTCCAAAGAAATACGCGACGTTTTGATTAATCTTCATGATCAATTCGAAGAGATGAACACGTGAGTGTCGGAGCATATTGAATCGAAGTCTGTTTTCTTCTGTTTCGTCGCTATCATTTTGATTAATGATATCAGAGGCGAGAAATTCTTGCGAAGTACACCGAAGGAAAACACGTGTTCGTAAAATATCGTTTGTGTCACCGATTATTTATTGAGCCAATTCGGAAGATACTCCGGAAACTTTCCGTTTGTTCTAATAATAATCGATGAATAAACATCAAATTAATATGTAACTAACCTTTCGTCCGATTAAAATAAAAGTAGAAGGAACAAGAAAAGAAATATAAAAGCAGAGCGGTATAGGAAATATATTTAATTTTCGGAGTATTTACTTCACAACTTCACTTTATTGATCTCACAAATGTCATTTTAGGGGCGCATTTTTCGTGATTTAACAGGAATTTCTCGCTTGCTGACATCAGCAATTGAAATGAGCGCGGTCTAGAAGCCTCGAGGGTACACGCGGTTGTTTTCGAAAAGCCCGTTAGTCACACTATCCGCAGGCGATACGAGACATTGCAGTCGGAAATGGAGAGGTCCGACGACGCGGCTCTATCGAAACAACTGTCCAGCTTGGAGAAAGAGCTGCAAGTGAAAGAGGAGGAGATCAACGCTATTGTCGGTCTTTACAAAGAAGTGAGAGCCGTTATGAATATTCACACCGATTGCTGATTTCGCAGAACAAGTTATCACAGAACGATATCGCGCGAGCAGGTGATGTCGTTGAAGCAGCAAATGAAGACGTTGCACAAGAAGAGCAGCCTCGGTTGCGTAGCGACTGGATCGACCATAGGAATGCAAAAGAGCCCTTTCCCGTTGTCACTCATATCCGGGAAGTCTCAATTGACGAATACCGCGCAAATTCTCGGCCGACGAAGAGCGTCGAATGTTTATGGCGGAACGCGAGAACTGCCTGTCTCCATGCAGCTGACTGCGTTATTACGGCAAATCCAAACCTTCCATAAACAACTCGTGTCGTAATGCCACGTCGGGAAACAGAGGGATGGTCAGAGGGCGGAAGTGAGAATTGATTCTCCGCGTCGAAAGTTATTTTCGTCAGTCTGAACGCATGTCGATGATAACGTCGAAATCTTTTGCTCACCTGCGACATAGAGCGAGACGCTCAAAGCACGACACACATGCTTCAACGAATATTTATCATAAGTGGTAAAATGTTATCGAGCGAAGTGATTTAGAAGTTACATCTTTTTGATATTTTCCTTTTTGGATTATTTTCCCTTTTGGATAGTTCTTGATGTGTATCTTTTGGATATACTTTTCTCTGTACCAATGCATCAGAAATATTCCAAGATGTCATCAGTTTTTTCTCTTCTTTTCTAATAAAATTATATACTTTTGAATATTTGCACGATTGCGAATCGCGTATCAACGGGAGTTGGAGAGTCTTGATGCATCCGCGCAAAGAAAAATAATCCACCTTTCGAAGCGATTTGGAAGGTTTTCTTTCTTTTTTCTTTTTCACAAATAAACGAACTTCTTCTAGCAGATCATACTCCATTTTATTCGATTCTGCGTGCTACCTTTCATATAATGTGTGTAATATTCGTACGTATGCATGTGTATGTACGGTCGTATGTATTTATGTATGCGCACAGCTGCCTGTATTTATACATACAATATATATGTATATATATATATATATATGTATATACACGTAATCCCCATATTTTGCGTGTGTGTAATGTGTATAAACGTCAAAGATGATTTAAGATTCCCCGCTAAGATAGACGTTTCGCCGTTATGGCTCACGGTCGATTGCAATTATCAGTTGCAATTACGTGCAGCATGGTACGATGAAAACCTGAGAAAAACTAATCGTTATGTCGCTATTGATTTCCCTTTTTTTATTCATATTTTGGGTTCCTTCTTTTTCTTCCTCTCTCTCTCTTTCTCTCTCTCTCTTTCTCTCCTGATCACAAGATTCTAAGTCTCTAGATATGTTCGTCGGAGATCATGTGATCCGCATGGAGTAGCATCTCTAGCGTCTCTATTTTTTTCTCTCTTTAAGTTTAAGTACTAATTCAACGATTCGTAATCTATCCGATTCTCCGAAGTGCCTCTCTTAGCTTGACTAAATAAAATTTCTCCCCATTCCTCTTTCTGTCTCGATCCTCTTATTCTTAAATGTCTCTCCTTTCTCTCTCTCTCTCTCTCTCTCTCTCTCTCTCTCTCTCTGTCTCTCTCACACACACCCACACACACATTCTTTCTCTCAAAGCAGCTACACAGAATCTCACGCAATCCAATCTTATGCGTAAAGACATGTTTCTATACGCTACCAAATGTACCTTAATTAACGTTAATATATAAAACGTTATCTTAGATCTACGGTAATATTAATTTGCTCTCTCTTTTTTATTGTGGAGAAAGGGAGTGGGGAAGGGGAGGGGGCGGAGGGAGGAAAGTGTGGCTCAAGTACGCCCACGGGAAACAAGAACATTTCTGTGGCGTCGAATACAAAATTAATTTCTCCTCGTGCGAATAGCAGTCCCTTTGGCAGTACGGCTGGAGGCGATAATCGCGAGAAACGCGACGCAGATGATCTTGTGCCGACGTGGTGATAAAAGCTCGTCAGGCATTTGATATCGTCCGTGACAGTCCAATCATGGAGGACTGACACTGAAAAATATGCTGTCGCATAATACAGATGAATTAAACTCATCTTCATTAAATAAATGAAATTCGAAGATCGACCAGCTACAATGTGTTCGCGATTCTTTTCCTTTCTTTTCTTTTTTTTTTATTTTTACTACGATATCCGTCTTTGTGTTTGTTCATTTCTTCCATTGTATCGACGAAAAGTCAAATTGCTCCCCATTCCGTGTGTTCTTCGTGTTAAATAGTCTACCTCCACCCGTTCTTCCGAGAAAGGACGCGGTTTTCATTTAAGCTATCATCATCTCACCGTAAGATCTCCCGCGAGAGATCGCCGACTTCTCGATCATCTCTCCGCGGGGGGAACGACGTGGAAAGATCTATTCCCTTCCACTTCCATGTTCCAAACAATCGTTTTTATAAGGGAAAAAGAAAAGAAATGTAATCGAGTCTTCTTCATACATCATACATTTCCCCATCTTAACGCAAGTATAGTTCTCATTATATCACAGACTAAAAAATGCTTTGGTCTAAAAAATTTTTTCGTTTTTTCTCTTTTTGTTTGTTTGTATGCTCCTCATTTGTATTGATTAGTATAAACGGACAAAGTTTTCGCGCGTTCACGTGTTTTCAATCGGTCTCGCTGACGTCAATTCTAATATTCTTGTTATTAATTTTGTCAATTTTTCGGCTACGGATGTACAAAGTCAGCGCGCGAAAGGCGGGGTTGTTCGTCTTCCGTCTCGATTTCTGTCTTCTCATGAAAAATTCGATGTAAAACCTGCAATATGTATCCGATGTGCGAAAACTGCTAAAAGCGCAAACGATCTAGATGAAACACATGAAGTTTCGAAGTTTCTCATAAACGTACAACATATGCGGCATCTCTTGAGTTATTATCGTAATAAAATGGTTTCTCATTTATAATTTTGAGCATTACGCAATTTTTCGAAAGATACAGCGGTGTAGTTCGTTGCGTGCTGTAAGTGTCCTCTCGCAAGAAAAAGAAAAAGGGAAAGAAAAGATTGAAAACCTTCGCGATTCGATTACATATTGAGATCTTCAATTTCGAGACGACCGATTGCCGATTTCATAAGCGTGACGTTGCAGAAAACGCAAGGACCCTTTCGACGCGATTGCAACTTAGTAAGACTCACAAAGCATTTCTTTTTTTGTGTGTTAGTCGACACGCTGTATAGAACTCAAGCCATTAGCACCCTTGATTTGAGACTCTATGTGAAAAAATCGGTCAAGCGGAATTTTAAGGCGTTTACGGTAATCCCTGTCGGTTGTGTATACGCTGCGCGAACGGCCTTAAAATCGTACTTGTACAAAAATATAAACGCAAAAATCAACGAGCTTTTTTAGTGAATATTTTCTTCTTTTTTTTTTCTTTTAATACCTTATTAAGATCGTAACATTTTATAGTACTCTACAATTACAACATGTGATATCTCTTACAAGGTACTTACATTACGAGTATAACCCCACACATTCGTTCTTTACTCTCAGCGTTAGAATTCAGCGATTACTTTACGATGATAAAATAAATATCGGGTTCACTATAAATGTTAATCGTTACGTTACGTCCGCTTTCTTGTGTGTATCCTCTGCTCCCCTTTAAGTCCTATCGATACAATATTGATCATCGGTGAAATGATCAGGTTACATCGGCTGACTATTAAATAGTAAAAACAATTAAAACACTCTTATCTCAATGGTGATAATGAAAAACGATAATCCAGCGAATGTCATTCTTCCCAAAGTTTAAAATATTGCAGATATGAAAGTATATATTATAGGTTTTTGGAAGTTTGGAAATTGTTGCTCGATATATCCCTCCAAAATCGAAAGATTTTTCTGGTATGCATTTTGACAATATCTTAATCTGGAGTTAGTTTTAGTCTTAATGATCTCAAGTGACAAGTCCATTAACATTAGGCATTCGTTCGTTTGACATCCGTTCACGTGATCGTCGTTATAAAACTTGATATTTTAAGTATAAACAAACCTGACAAATCTTTGTCATGAACATATATAAAAAATATAAGTACATTTCATGTTTTCTCTTTTCTTTCGTTTGCTTTACAGTCGATCGATTAAACATTGATCAATCACGAATATATCAAAACAAGCGTCTAACTTTCCTTTAGCGGGTATGGAAAATTTACTCCAATGTGTATAGAGAGAGATTAATTATCTCTTTCTCCAATAAAGAGAGAGGGAGAAGATAACTAAATAGAGGATAGTCGAGTGGAAATATTTTTGTAACAAATGAGACTTGTCGGATATACAACGCACCGTAAGACGTACTGTAAGATGCATAATAAGATTCACAACTATCCCATATGCAATAATCATTTTACTCTCTAGACTTATCGATGCTTAAAGCGCTCAAATGTGTATGTATGTGTCTGTATACGTGTGTACCTTGTTAGTGTCCTTGACTCTGTAAACGTATTGTGTTGCGCACTATACTCTGTTAATTCATATCTCCAACGTATCCACATATATTTATAAAAACAACAATGCCTGAAACACAAGTCACGTTGTGTTAATATCGAAGACATCCGACATACTATTTCTCGAGTGTGATACGGAATCTACGATCGAAAAAAAAACGACAAGAGAGACGAGTACGCGCGAACTCGCGAAAGCGAAAAAAATCTCACATTTGCACGTATCTCATCCTACCACGTTCTCTCTGCCTCTGAAAATCCTTTTTCTTGATTCTGGACGACAATAGAGTCTCGCTGCGTGCACTACCATTACTACTCGCTTCTGTAAGAAACTGCCTGATCGGATTGTTTCCGCGGACTTTCCCTCAATCATCTGATACAGGATCAGTTGCGATAGAGAAATCGCAGCGACCTGTACGTTGGCTCGCGTTCATGGTATACAACAAACAAACATGTCCCATTGTACAGATAACCGAAGCTCGGTTCAAGAATTTCTCGACAATTCGTCACTTCTTAAGCCAGCTCGCCGTTACGTTACGTTGCGTGCATTAAATACTTCGTCAAGCCTTCTTGGCTATAAGAGCGTCAATCAGTCTGAGCTTCGCCTTCGCTTGCTTGTAGGACTCGTAGACGGTGGTGACTTGCGGGCCCCGATCCTCTCGTTGCATCCGGCGGCCTGCCCGAGCTTCGAATTGAGCTTCCAATTCTTTCAGTGCTCTACGAAGTCGTTTCTTCTCTTCGCGAGTAGCCCGTTGCTGTGCTAGTAATTCTTCTCTGGAAAGGAAAGGATGTTTGATGTAGGAAAGCTCGATAAACACTTGTCAGAGCACTTTAGCAATTTGGGATGCTCGCGAAGAGAGGATTTCATAGTAAACATTACTGAAAAATTTTGTAACTTTTACAATTTTGTAGCTTGTTTTAGAATTTTGTAATTTTGTAATCAGGGGGCATACTGTCATTCTGCTTTGATTATCCTTCTGTTTCACATGTGTTATTTATGTTTGAGGAACTGAAATCTACTGTTACAAAAGTCGACAATGTTCTTTAGTAAAATTTACTATATTTTTTAGCTAGATAAATTCTGCAAGAAATAAAAATATTATTTCACATAGTAGAAGGTGTTAAAAGATTTTAACTGCTAGAATATATTTAACATTAAGTACAAAATTTACAAACAATCATTTCGAAAAATCGAAACTGGTAATAAAACTAAACTTACTGAGGAAGAGCGTGTAAACTTTCACCGGCGCCGCGACTGCCCTCGCTGCTGCTATGCTGGCTGTCGCTGTCAGTTGGTAATTGATCCGCAGGATCGATGCAATCTAGAATACCTCGGTGAGACATGTCGGGCTCGCTGGCTCTTCTGTCGACATCCACCGGATTTCCCGGCAAACTCGATGATGTGAAATCCATCGTTTCGTGCTCCAAAATCGTAGCTAATTCTGAAACGCTGTCCTTGTTTTTGCTCTGCACATAACATGTAACGCGCAAGGCATATTAATATTAATTTTATAATTAATATTATAAATTTATATAATATTATAATTTTATAATTAATATTATAAATAATTGAACAGAGAGATTATATATAAAAAAAAAAGATTACAACAGTTTGTTCACTTATCAATCTGAATTTGAAATCTCTTATTTTAGAAACTGTCAAGGAAAAATGATATCTCTATAGAATTTCCTGCACTTTATATCTCTCTGAAATTAATTTTTTGAGACCTTATGTTCATACGAACTTTTCTTCATAAAATGATCTCAAAAGTCAATTTTTGACATGTTAGATAATATTTAAGATGTATCTTGTATATACATTAAGAAAGTCGAAATATTTTGTACACATTAAAAAACGTATCGAATGACGCACACGCGCAATAGATGTAGCCGGCTGAATGCTTTCGAATTGACAGTAATCCATGATACTTACCGCGCCCGCTCTGATGAGCAACCTTTTCAAGGTTCTGTACCGGTCGTACAATGGTCGCACAACTGCTCGATCTTCCTTAGAAACCGGTCTACCGAAGGTACTCTCAATGTGGAGCAACGCCTTCTGCACGGCTGTCTTCTCGTCCACCAATTGTTCGTAGCTGAGCTCTTCCATGTTATCCGGCCGATTGTACTTGATCCGCTTTTCATTGAGCTTCTTTTCCACTTCCATCACCATTTCTTCCATTGATGTAGCTCTGGATTTCTCGTGGCTATTGTTGTTGTTGACAGGACTGCCGGTATCAGCGACGTTCACCTGCCGATTGTTGCCAAACGCCAAGAGAGCACCTATCGGATCTTCCTTCAGCATCTTGTGCTCCTTCCGCAATTTATTCAGTTCCGTACACAATCGCTTGATGTCGCGATTGCTCATCTTATCGGAGTGACTCGGTCGATAGCCAAAGTTCTCCTCGAACTCGTCCTCGTACTTTTTGATCTTCTTCTTCAGACCATTGATGTGCTTCGCCAGATTCTTCAGTCCCAGCTCCGACGGGCTGGGCGTGCTCGGTTGCATCTCCTCCTCGGAGTAAAATCTCCTGGGAAGGAGCAGCGAGTTCCGCGGTGACAACATAGCTTCCACTCGAGCGTCAACGGCCTCTTCCTGCGGAATTTGACCAAATTACGTTAACAATGATGATTGTTTCGTTAATCCTAATATTAATCCTAATACAATTTTAAATTTGTTTGAAGTTACGTTTGATAGTCTGTAACAGTTTCATCTGTGACAATTCCTTCGCTTATTTGCGCATGATTTTTCCAAACGATTCAAACACTCACATTTCCCTCTAGATGTTGGAAGCCCCAGTTAGTCAAACTGGGATTATTTACATCTTCGTGATCGACAGTAGGTGGACGAGCTGGTGATGGTGACCTGCTCGGTCCACTGCTCAACATCTCCAAGAAGCTTTGAGCGGGCGAGCCATTATGGCTGGTGGGACTTGGTGACATGTTGGAGATGTACATATTTTCAGATTCCTCCTCATTTTCCTGATGAGGGGAGAAAATAACTTTTAATTATTTCTTATAGAGGAGAAAATTTATTTATAATATTTAAAAAAAAATAGTAACATTGCATATAAAATGTAAAAATATCAGAATATTAATGGTATCTCATCCTCGATAAAAGAAATTGAGGGACTTCTGTTCTGTAATATAAGACTCGACAGAAACTCGGAGTCCCACCTTGCTGGAACTCGGGTCCGCGTCCGGGACTCTGTGCACCCTCCTTTTGCGCGCTTGCCTCCTGCCTCTTGGAGTGATGCTTCTGCTGAAGCGCTCGCTGCTCCGCAATCTCTCGGCGTCGCAGTCATACTTCTCAGTCGCCACGACAACTTCGCACGGCGACGGCACCGACGACGCTTTTTTCGAGACCGGCGAAACATTGGTCCTCTCGTGCAGCGGCAAACCGCCGCATCTCTGCGCACAGATCACACAGATCGATCAGAAGAATTGCACTCTATTCGTGACAAATTAATTTTCCAACATCCTCAGAACGAGCGAAAATTCACTCGAAGCGCCAATAAAAATACTGCCGTTTGAGATCGTAAGAGTGAGCCGTTTCATTGAAGCTTGGAGTGGATTCCGGCTTCATACGAGCGAATGCTTCAATCAATTAAAGTGAATCTGTGCCTGTGATGATGGAATATATCGAGCTCGCTCTTCGCTTTCGAGTGAAAATATTCGCTCGATCCAGAGTGAAGAAATTTGCCCTGTATAGGGGAGAAATCACTCGAATTCAAGCGACGAGTCGGCTGTGTCACCCTGCTTTTCGAGTGAGATTTCATTCCGAGAAATTTCTGCCAATAGCTTTGCTAGGTGCATGTGATTTTACAAGACTGCTTTGGAAGTTCTTGCGAGTTTCACGGATAGCCGTTGGAAAAATGTTATGAGACAGAGCGCGATACGGGAATTGTTTGGCAATCACAAGGAGGACATATCGCTACTTTGAGAATTCATTTCAATCGCGCGCACTCACCACGCCGTGGCCCATGTCTTGGCTGAGCTGCGATAAGATGTGCAAATGCTCCTGACTGTTGAAATCCTCGTGGCTGCTCACGCGTCTAATCGTATCCGCGACGTCGGTGGGACTGTCGAGCACACGTTCCTCGCTGCTGCTCCTAAAAAGCGCGTTTCATTTACATTACTCTTTCTTTAGCGCAATGTTAGCGAAAACGAGTACTTGGTCGATATGTGCCCGAACAATTTAAATTGCATGAGACGAACAGACGCTCTGAACGTTTCTGCACGTTCAACGTCGCTCGCATTGCGCGAGCACAGAATTTTGCATTTGCAGTCTTCGGATTTATGTACAATTTTCGACAATTTTGATTTTAACGAAATTTGTTATCTTTTTCTCTCAACGTGGACATAACATTGTCAATGTTACCGAAGGATTCGCGTTGTCAAAATTCCACGGCACCTTATTAGCTTTCGTTCCTGGCAGCAGGACTCGCGACGTTCCTTGCGCTTGCGCGGTTTCAGCGCGCAAAGTAGGAACGTGCCCTCGGAGTCCTTCGGCTCGTCCTTGGTGTCCTTGCAGATCTTGCAGTCGCTGGCAGGCAGCACACCGTTCACTGTATTTTCACGGATACTACAGCCATACAGAGAGCAGCAGCAGCCACGGGCAGGCGGAGAAGCAGAAACAGAAAAAAGAAAAGAACCAGGTCAGATCGTAGAAACTGAAGCGCGACGATCTTGAGGTGTCAGCCTTCGAACTTAAGCGGCTATGACTCAATCGAGCCGCATAAAAGTGCCGCTTGCGAATGCGAATGCGAATGCGAATGCAAATGCGAAGACGGCTGCCGAACGATAGTTCGAACGGACGAACAGGTCGGACGGCGCGATATCAAAAAGCACGATACGAAAAATGAGAGAAAAAGAAGAGAAAATATGCATTTCGTTGCGAGAACGCGAGGCAATGACGAGTCGCAGCTGCCGGGCGCATTATCAGCGCCAGTTTTTCCATTTCTATCATGTAATTCTGTTTTCTCCTACGTTTCCATTTCTTTCTTTTTTCCCAAAAACGCGCTCGTCGATCGGACGAATTAATTCGTTGCAACTGCCGTCGAAGCTGCGACCGTTCGGCGACGAGACACGACAGAGCAGAAGAGCGATTTGTTAGAAAATGATAATGATTTTTTTTAATGATGAATTCGTTAAAAAATGATAAAACTAACAGATAAACATATTAATCGGTCCTGAATATTTTAATCGCGCGAGAGAGCGAACGTGACGGAATATATTTCGTACGTATCGGTGCGGTTTATTTTTCATCTGGATTGAAATATTTCCTCTCCTCTCCTCTCAAAATGGAGAGAGAGAGAGAGAGAGAGAGAGAGAGAGAGAGAGAGAGAGAGAGAGAGAGAGAGAGAGAGAGCGCTGTATATTTGCTTTATTGCGATATTAATTTTACATATTTTAATCCCGTCCTATATTTTTCGACCGAAATTCTGCAGGCTTCTCATCCCGTTTTTCCAGACATTCAAGGGAACATTATCGCGCGTTATCAGCAGGATCACTGTTGTCATTCCGGCGGATTAAATCCACAGCGGAGATTTCATCCGCGTCTCTCGCAAATCTACGCAAATTAACGTCTCGCCGCGAGGGATTATTTTTCCTTGCGCGAGAATTCGAAGCTGTTCGCGCACTTGCGCGCAATCGTTTCCCTTTTTCTCTTCGTGAATGAGAACCGCCGTGACGGCGGAAAATACACAGCCTTTTGCCCAAGCGGTGTTGCTTCTATTTCGCGATATATAATGGCTCCCTCGACCCGTCCTGCGAATTCAGGTCGTCCTCGATGATGATTTGATCTTATATCACGAATCGCGCGAGCTGAGCAGCGACCACGCGTACACGAATCGCGGGACGGGTAAATGCTTTCGTCGTGACTCACCGAACCGCGTGATAGCGCTTCTTCACGCAGAAATGAAGCTTACGGAAATAAAGTCGTAACGCACGCAGTGGCGTACATATAAATTTTTTTTTCTTCACCGGCTCTTCCGGCCGTCGAAGAAAGGACCGTGTTTCGATGAAGACGCGGAACGAAATTAAATTCGATTATTAATTAATTAATTTAATTATTTACGGAATCAGCAGCCTTCGATATGCACGCTAAAAGAAGGGAAAATAATCTGCAGAATTATCTCCCTGAAATTGTCGACAAAATAGAATTCTATATATAATTTTGTCTTTTATTTAATTTTTTTACGTACAGAATTGTATTCTATCAACTGGGAACTATATATAGAGATACACATATGTGTAAGTGTGTGTGTGTGTGTGCATACGTATTGCCCCTAGGCATATCAAGTGTTGGGAAAATTCCTACGGTGCAGCTGTTCTACGCCATTGGAGCGACGCGCGTTGCGGTCGCGGACCCGAAGCGGAAAGTTAATCGCAGGAATATCAGCGCGACGCGAGCCAATTACGTCGTGCTCACGGCGTAATGCGCCGTTAATTGTTCGGCGATTAATCCTTAATGAGGCGCGCCTGATTTAGCGTCGTTGCTCGCTCCAACTTCACATGTTGATCTATCCGTCGTTAACCTGAGCATTTGTGCAAACAGCGAGTTTACGAATAAATATGATAATACGCCACGGGCTAAGATTAACAAAGTGCGACGGTAATCGTCTACGACGACGCGAACACGGAGGAGGGCAGGACGAGAGTCAACAGTAATCAAGGATGCATCATGAGCAATCAGTTATTTGCAAGACTCTTGCTCTTATCGGTTTCTACTCGAGCTGTGTAGTAGTAGAATAAACAGTAAATACGCTCTCAGTGCATATTTGTGCATTTCAAGCAATTTATACTTATTATATCAACTGATCGACAAATAAAAGCTCCGTCCGAAAGATTTGTTCGCTACGAAATGCTTGATTATTTATAAATGCTCCTACAGAGAACTGCTCTTCGGTATTTATGCGCGACTATGACCGGATAGTGAAGAAGTTACAGTCGGGAGGATCATTCCTGTAGCAAGTGTCGCTGCATTGTCAGCGATAATGACGTCCCCTATTCTTCGCATTCGTTTTTTTTCTTCTTTGTACATCGAAAGAGTCATTTCTTTTATTTTTTAATTTTCACCTGTCCCCCCACATGGCAGGTGGATTCTCCGTTCATTTTTTACATCGAAATATTCACAATATTCGTCGCTCTCGCATCTCAATGATTCCAATAATTTAACGAGGCCGTATAAACGGATAGTGAAAGTCCTGCTTTATTCTTCCGATCTGGAGAAACAGACAATAGGCACGGAAGGTGCCTGTGCGACAAAACGAAGCACGCTTCAAACGACGACGACGACGACGACGACGACGACGACGACGACGACGACGACGACGACGACGACGACGACGACGACGACGACGACGACGACGACGACGACGACGACGACGACGACGACGACGACGACGACGACGACGACGACGACGACGACGACGACGACGACGACGACGACGACGACGACGACGACGACGACGACGACGACGACGACGACGACGACGACGACGACGACGACGACGACGACGACGACGACGACGACGACGACGACGACGACGACGACGACGACGACGACGACGACGACGACGACGACGACGACGACGACGACGACGACGACGACGACGACGACGACGACGACGACGACGACGACGACGACGACGACGACGACGACGACGACGACGACGACGACGACGACGACGACGACGACGACGACGACGACGACGACGACGGACGACGACGACGACGACGACGACGACGACGACGACGACGACGACGACGACGACGACGACGACGACGACGACGACGACGACGACGACGACGACGACGACGACGACGACGACGACGACGACGACGACGACGACGACGACGACGACGACGACGACGACGACGACGACGACGACGACGACGACGACGACGACGACGACGACGACGACGACGACGACGACGACGACGACGACGACGACGACGACGCTGCACGGTCACGTGAATAGATCTAATAAATTGCTGGCAACTCGCTCGATGCATAATTCGATTAATTCGCCGGTGACTAGAGACACGCACCCGTAAACTTTGTTCCGCGCAGATTAATGTCAATTAACATAAACGGGAGCTCGTGATACGCGTTTATGGCGGGCTATTCTATCTGCTAGAATATTTTCCATGCGACGTGTTTATCCCACGGGGGCACAAAGCACAGATCCACGGTCGCCGTCTCAAATTTACGATGTCCGTCAAACTCTTCCTATCCTCTATTCGTGAATGTTAGAATGATGAAAAGAGCGATCAGTGCTGTCAAATTTACGTGGCGAACTTGCATAGAAATATGACGATTATTTTCGCGTATTATCGGCACGTTTAATTTCATTCGTGACGCTTAAATTTATAATAAGTTGAATAAATTTATTACATGAAATTATTACGTTCGATTATCAATAATTACGCGGGCTTCAATAAAACAAAAGGAAAAAGAGATCAATTTCGCTGGAATTACGAGTTATTTCCGAACTATATTTTTCCACCGTTTTAACAGAAAAATAAGTAAAAATGGAAAAACATGTTGTGTTGGATCACGTAGAATTAATAAACAACACCGTAATCGAAGTAAAGACCTGACAGGAATATCATTGAAACTAATACTCGAGTTATTAAAACAATGTACGATGTGTTGGTTTCAATGATATCGCTATTGAACCGAGAAGATTTACTCCAATTACGGCGCTGTCGAGCGATTCTATTGATTCAACGGCATCTTCTTTCCAAGTGTGCAACATTATTATTATCAGCCTCCCCTAGCAGTGCTCGCGATAAAAATGCTCCCCCCGCCTATGATTATCTCGCTACGTGATTCCTGTCGCAAGAACAAAACAAAATATTTCTTTCTCCGTGCGTATCAAGACTCCTCTGTCACATTCTACACATCATGCTTTAATAATATAACGTGCGAATTTTTCTCAATCAACGTACGCATCGCGTAATGCGCGTGAGACTTTCCTCTCGGAGTTATGTAATCGTTACCGGTCGATCGAACGAGCGAGCTCGTTCCTTCAAGTTGCGCGCGAGATTCGTAAACGGCGTCTATAAATAAACTGGCGCTCCTCGCGTCAGCGATTGTTATGGTCTTCTCCTTACATAAGAATTTCCCGTCGTGACATTAAAAGGTGCATAATAAGCGGCGACGAACGTCATTCAATCCGGCGCTATTCTGTGCGAGCGAGCGTGGCACTTGCACTTGCAACCGTGGTTAATAAATCCCGATTAAGGGCGACGTGGAAATCTACTCTCGGCGCGGCGAGCTCTAACGAGCTACGGCTCTTTCACGAATTATCGCGGATTTACGGCAAACGCCGCTTGCCTGACGGAACGATGTACTCCGCGCGATTGAATGCACTTTTAACGCATCGACAACGTGAGCGACACAGAGTGGGAGATGGAGAAGGAATGCGGTTATAGACGTGCTTGCATTGCGTTGATAACGTGTCGATCGCGACCTCGTAAAAATCGATATCGAAGGATTCTTCGGTACTTTGCGAATTCGACTTGACTTTTGAGTTCCTTTTCTATATATTTTGAATTTTCTATTTTAGAAATTTA